TGGCTGCCTTTTATCCTGCCTTAATAAATAATAAAGGAAGATGTGCTATCTGCCTCTTCCGTAGGTACACAGAGAGACACACAGAGGATGATGAGAGAACAGATAAACTACCAAGAAAGTCACAAGCAAACATGAGGTGCCCCTGGATCCCAGCACCAAAAATAAAGGCTTTGGACTTAATTGAAGGGAGAAGAAATTTTGCTCATTTATTCATTCATGCAAGGAATATTTAGTGACCACATATCTATTGCCAAGCATTGTTCTAGACTTGTGATAGGAGTTAAACAGTAAATCAACTCTTGTGCTCACAAAGCTTACAGCTCATATAAACAAATAGGAAAAATATGCAGGATGTCATCTGATGATACATCTCAGAGACAAATTAAGCAAAGCAGCAGGACAGAGTTCCTCTCCCTTAGGTGAAGAAATATTTATGGATCAACCACAATGTTGTTTGCTGAATGCTGCAGGCCAAGAGAAATTCATTAATTTGTTCATTAAATACTGATTTACTGTCGTTTAAATGACAACCACTGTGCTCAGCCTTGGGGAAACAGGTTCTCTGCCTAGGAAATTTACAGGCTGGGAAGTCAGTCATTTTAAAAAGGCACCCCTCAAGGTGTGAAATTACAAACTAAGGTTAAAGCTCTAAATGGAATGCATATGTACATGCAGTTAATTACAGGACTGCAGCAGGCATCTCTATGAGCTGAGAGAGAAAAAGACATAAACACTTTCTAGAAACTACTGATACTAGAACAATGTGGTACCTGTTGCCACAGGGTTGTGCAACCAGACCCATGTAGAAAACGGGAAGGCCAGAATCACATGTGCTCAACACAAGTAGCATTGCCCTTCAGTGGCCAGGTATAAGGAAATCCATTAATGTTGCTGAGACACCATGCTAACCATATGGAAAAAAAAAAACGGAATTGCTGCCTCGTATTATAATCAGAAATCAATTTCCAGGGTTGAAAAACTTACGTGTGAAAGGAAAAGCTTTCAATCTTGCTCAAGAAAATGTGAAAATAAAGTGAAAACCATGATGAAAGCAATATTGAGACGGGGAAGAACTTTTGAAAATAGACTCAGGACACTCATTAAGGGAACAGGACTTGCAGGTCTCAAGCTGCTGCCTGAAATGTGAACTTTGGGTCACTTTCACACTTTGACTGCAGGTATATAGCACAGCTACATCATCACGATGTGTGCAGAAACGTCAGAACGATGCTAAAAGGTTATTGTACTCTTTATTTTATGGACACTTCTACATGGCTTGTACACTGTTTACTTCAGCTTCCACCGGGCACACAGGCCCTCTCGCTGTGCCTTTGCTTCTTCTCAACTCAAATGGGAGCTTCCCACAAAAGAATTTTTGTTCCCTTGCAATAAATCAGCACAGCTTGCCTACCCAAGCTCCCACTCTCTCTTTCTCCTTCAAGATACTCATTCAGAGCTTTCTGAATTTGAGACTCCCACAGTACCGTTCCTGAATCCCCCCCCCAAGAAGTTTGCTTAGTTTCCAAGTTTCAAACAATCCACCAAAAACACAGACTATCTTTAAGAGCTGAAGTGGGAAGATTTATGTGACCAAAGACACTAAACACAAAAGTAAAAACTTTAACTATATTTTAACTATGAGCTTCTGCAAGAGAGAGGAGTGGGGGAAGAAAAAAAAAAGAGACTAAGTTATAAATTGGGAGAAAATATGTGTACCTCACATGACTAGCAAAGCGGTGGCATCTAAAGTACATGTAAAATATCCCTTAAAAGAGTTAGAAAAAGGTAATAGAGAAATATGCAAAAATCATGAGAAGACTTTTTTTCTGAAACACCAGTGGAAATAAACACAAGAAAGATGTTCCACTTCACTAGCAATTGTCAGGTAATGCAAGTCAGGCAGGTTCACAAAACATCACTTACAAAATGGTTGTTGGGCCCAGCTCAGTGGCCTAGCGGCTAAAGTCCTCACCTTGAACGCCCGGGATCCCATATGGGCGCCGGTTCTAATCCCGGCAGCTCCACTTCCCATCCAGCTCCCTGCTTGTGGCCTGGGAAAGCAGGCCCAAAGCTTTGAGACCCTGCACCCACGTGGGATACCCGGAAAAAGTTCCTGGATCCTGGCTTTGGATCAGCATAGCATCGGCCGTTGCGCTCACTTGGGGAGTGAATCATAGGACGGAAGATCTTCCTCTCTGTCTCTCCTCCTCTCTGTATATCTGACTTTCCAATAAATAAATAAATCTTTAAAAAAAAATGGTTGTCAAAAATGAAGATACCAGAGACGGGCATGTGGCACAAGGGCTAAGACTCCATGTGAAACATCTGTATTGCTCATCAGGCTGCCTGGATTACAATCTGCGCTCTGCTTCCAATTCCAACATCCTGCTTCTATACAACCGTGGGCGGCAGCAGCTGCGTCCCTGCCGCACATAAGGGCCAGATGGAATTCTGGCCCACTCCCAGCTGTTGTGGGCATTTGGGGAGTGAATCAATAAATAGATCTTTCTCTGTAGGTCTCTCTCTCTCTGCACTTGTGCCTTTCAAAAAAAAAAATACCAACAGGAAATTTACAGAGTTAATATATCTGACAATATCCCAGCACCTGTAGGTACAGGGGGAGGCAAGCACATGTGTTGGTGGTCTTGGGAGTGGGGGTAGCATGGCGTTCTGAGTTATTTTCCCTCTAAATTCCCATGTTGATGTTCTAACCATCAGTACCATCAGATGTGACCTTATTTGGAGCTGGGGGCCCATCAAGGTGGCCCCTAATTCAGTATGACTAATTTCTAAAAGGGAGAAATCTGCATACAGGTACACACGTGGGCGATGATGTGAAGTGGCAGGCAGAGAAGGATACAACCGTGGGACAGTCCTTCCCGACCACAGCGGGTTTTAGACACTCAGTCTGTCTTAGCCCACACTGTCTCTTGCTTCCACACAACATCTGACACGGGGCAATTGACAAAGCAAGAAGATGGTTTGCGGCTCCCTATTTTCGAAGTTCAAGGACATGATGGTAAGTGGGCAAAGAGGGGGAACCGGTGCAGCGGACCAAACACAAGAGGTCTGGCTGCTTTAGAACAGCCTGGCCTGGCCACAGCAGTAGGATGGTTCTGTGTGATAAAGAATGCCTTTCCACCAGACATAAATATCTGCCCCCAAACACCTCCCACAAGGCCCCATCTTCCAACAATGCGGACTTAAGCCTCAGGGTGAGCTTCGAGTTGGACAAATCATTTCTAAACCATTTGAAACTGTAACATACCCCTGGGGATGCTGAGGCAATACAGACAGCCTAGTCAACTAAGAGCAGGTGGGGGCCCGGTTCTCGGCTTTGTCTCACTTAAGCCCAGGACGCAGGAGTTTACTCTTGCCAGCGGAATAAAAAATAAACAGGACAGAGGAAAAAAATAATTAAACTTACAGAGAAAAGCCCAGTAGCCATCTGTGTTTCCCATGAAGCCAGGATTACATATGGCCAAGTTGCTGTCCAACTGGTGAGAGAATGCAGGCACAAGTGCTGGAGTGAATGTCTGCAATTATACCATTCACCTGCACTTGGTCCCCACCTGGCAAACACGCAGAAGGAGCTCGAAGCGCGCTCAGGGAACAGGCCCCAGCGCCTGAGCCCTCGGCCAGCACCCCTTCCTTCAGCTTGGCCACTGCTTAAACAGCCCTCGGGGGCAGGAGGTCTCAGCTCGAGCTGCCCGAGGCCCCGAGGGAGCGGGCTGAGAGGGAAGGAAGAGGTCACCAAGAACTGGGAGGCCCGCGACTCACCGCACTGTGGGGAGGCCCGGTACTGCGCGCGGCCCTGGGGGCAGGGCTGGACGCCAGCCAGCCTCTCGCGCCAGAAAGAACCTTCGCACCCAGCCCCTCAGGGAGAGTCCGCCGCCTGGGCCGAGCCGCCGCAGCCGCGGTCCGCCTCAGCCGCCGCCGGGCGCGTCTCTCGGCTTCAGCTCCACTCGTCGTCCTCCAGGCGGCGCTGTCCGCGCCCAGGCCTCCCGGCCCGCCCTAACTCGGCAACATGCTGGGCATCTCCCTCCGGGTGGGTTTCGTCAGGGCGGTGCTGGAATCACACCGGGCCGGGCGGGAAGACGCCGGAGACATGGAGGCCGGCAGGGAACCGGGAAAAGTCGGACGGGGCCCCCGGGAGCCGGAGCGGGGCGGAGTGGGGGGTGGGCGAGGGCGAGGGCTGCGTTGGCCGCGGGCGGTAGCGGGCGCGCGCCGGGCGGCGGATTCCAGGGAGGCGTGGTCCGGGCCACGGGCGCTCGCCCCCGGGCTGCCTCGCCCGAATTGGGTCAGGTCAGAGTTGGGTCGGGAAATGAACTGGAAGACCTGGCGGGGTGCGTTGGCAGAGTTGGGGTCGGACGCAGGAGGCTAGCTGAGCTCTATAGCAGGTGAGCGCCCAGGCTGTCCCCCACCCCCTACCAGGCCGGCTGGGGAGGAGCCCCAGGACCTAGGCTCGCCAAGCACTTGCTGGTCTGGGCTGTCCATCCTCTCCTCAACCCCTCCCTAGCCTGATTGGAACTGGGCTGGGCTGATGGGAGAGGCGAGTCCTGTGGCTAGCTCTGCTGTCAACCGCAAGTACCCTGGGAGGGCACAGCACCCTCTCCTGTATCTAGTTTTGATTTTGAGGGACTAAGGCCGGCATTCCAGATTGGGAGTCGTCTACCTCAACAAAGGGAGGTTTGTGTACTTGGCTGTATAGGCAAGAGGGGGTCTGGTGACATTGGCTCTTCTGGGCCTGTCTGACCCACAGCTGACCTCTCCCTCCCCTCTGCACCCCAGGCTCAGCTTACCTTCTGCATTACTACCTGTCTCTCTACCTGTTTTCATTCCTGCACAGCCCAGCTTGTGTGTGTGTCTGGCCTGGGAAGGGTGTGCTGCCCCCACAGCAGGTGAGACTTGAGGACCCTTGCTTACTTTCTCTGCAGGACCCAACACTGCTGCTAGCCATCACCGTCCTTGGGGTCACCGTGCTGCTGTTGGCCTTAAAGACCATGAGCTCCAGGAAGAAAGATCTTATCACCTTAGAGGACCCTAATGCCAAGTACCCGCTGCCCTTGATTGAGAAAGAGGTAATGGCCAGCCTGCCCCCTCCCCTCGGTGGGAGGAGCAGAGGATGGGGAGTGCTGCCCTGCCCTTGGAGGCTGGTGGACAGTCAAGAGTGTCTGTGGCCTCCAGTTGCCCCCTGCTGCCCTTGTTGTGGGTTCTAGATGAGCTGCAGCTGGAGTGCCAGCCCCAGGGATCTGAACTGCCCACCAGGGCTGGCTCTTGGACAGCTGAGCGAGTGCCCCTGTTTCCTTTCCTTAGCATATCAACCACAACACCCGGAGGTTCCGCTTTGGACTGCCCTCACCCGAGCATGTCTTAGGCCTTCCTGTAGGTAAGCAGGCTTTGGCCACTCCTGGGACTGAGGTTTGGGGAGCTTGGCTGCGCAGATGCTCTCGAAACACAGGTTTCCAGTTTCTTGAGGTACTCAGAAACATGGAACATTGGAATTCTGCTACTGTTCTCAGCTATGGCAGTTGCTTTCATGGAATATGTCTTACCTAGCTCCTGGGCCTGGAGCAGTGCTTTCCCTTTGGGCTGAGGTAAATGTGTTTTATCAGTGGGCATGGAAAACAAATGAGCTTGTAGTGTAAAGGTGGAAGAACTCAGCCAAGGTCCCTTGCTGGGTAACCACATGCAGGTCCCTCAGCCTCTCTGAGCCCCAGTCTCTAAAATGGAACTGCCCAGGCCTGCCAGCCTATATCAGTCAGGTTATGGTGAGGGTCAAGTTGCTGACAGATGGGAAACTGCTATGCACAGGAGAGGAGAAAGGCCCAGAATGGATGGGGAAGCAGGAGAGTCATGCGCCCAGTGACTGCTATCACGTGATTTTTCTGCACTGGTTTTGATCCACACAGGAGGGGCCCACCAGGGAGACCAGCTCCAGTGGTGTCAGGGCTCTGAGTTACCCCGTCTCTGCTCTGTCACACCACTAGACAGCTGAGTCAGTCTTAGTGAGACAGAAAGCCTCTGTGAGGCCCAGGGTGTAGCGGGGCCCACAGCAGTTCTGAACAGATGCTAATGCCACCTGCTAACACTGCCTCCTGTCCACAGCATACCTGCCTTAGACAGGGGTTCTCAAAATATAGGGGAGGTCTTATATCTGCTGGTTTACTCCTAAGTGCTGCAACAGCTAGGGCTGGGCCAGGCTGAAGCCAGGGGCCTGGAACTCCATCAATCTTCCAAGTGGGCGGCAGGGACCCAAGCACTTGCACCATCCTCCACCTCCTTCCCATGCACATTAGGGGATTGAAAGAAGAACAGCTGAGACTGAGCCTTGCCTGTATGGGATGCTGACATTGCAGGCTTGCAGCTTAATTCCCTGGGTCATAGTGTTGGTGCAGTTGAGCTGTTTTCAATATTAATTTACCTACTTCAAAGGCAGAGCAACAGAATGGTTCACCCTCCAAATGGTTACAACAGGCAGGACTGGGCCAAGGCAAAGCCCCAAGCCCTGAACTCCATCTGGGTCTCCCATGTAGGTGGCAGGGGCTCCAAGCACATGGCCCATCACCTGCTGCCACCCAGCGTGCATCAGCAGAAAGCTGGATCAGAAATGACAGTCCAGATGAGATGTGGGTACTGTCTCCACCCCACCCCCCAACTTATCTTTTAATTCCATTTTTCACAAACGTTTTAAGTGCCTTCATACATAGGAAAAAATGTTGATCTTAATTCTGAGTGGTGAAATCGTACCCCTAAGCCTCCCTGCTGCCCCCTCTCCATGCGCAAGAACGCAATGTCAGTTTGCTTTCCAGCCCTCTATCTTGCCTCCCAGGCCAGTCCTTCTGGCAGGAAGCCTAAAAGATGAAAAACCTGCAGTGGGCACCTAGCAAACTGGTAAGATCCTACTTAGGATGCCTACATTCCTATATTGGAGGGTCTGGGTTTGAGTCCCAGCCCCACTCCCAATTCCTGCTAATACATACCCACACGGGTGGGAGTACAGCAGACTGCTAAACATCAACCACCATCTGATGCCTCCCACCCATGTGAGAGACCCAAATTGAGTTCCTGGCTTCTGACTTTGACCTGGTCCAGACCCAGCTGTTGTAGGCATTTGTGGAGTAGCCTAGCAGATGGGAAATCTGTCTGCCTTTCAAAATAAATATATACATTTCTAATTAAAAAAGAAAAACAGGAAAAATGTTGAGAAATAATTTCTTAGAATCTCTGGTTCTCTCCTTAGGCTGGGTGCGGGCAGTGCAAGCCAAGTTGGTGGGATAAGGCCATTTGGAGGCTTCTGAGAGAGATGTGACTGAAGTCAAGCTAGAGAGTTAGATGGGGCCTGAGACACCTGCAGGGACAGACCCCTTTTGCTCTTGTTTTTATTCAACATTACCACACAGGGGACCACTGGGCCTGATCCTAGCTGGCTGAATCTAAAAGAGCTTTCTAGGCTGCTGGTTTCAGGATAATTGTCAGAAGAGCAGCCTCAGGGATTAACTCCTGTGTGCTTGGAGCCAGGGTTTGTACTTCAGGCTTCGGACCACCTCAGACTATAGCTGTGCTCCTGCAGCACACTCAGAGACAACCTCCATGTTCCACTCTACCGCCTTTGCTCTCTCTCCTCTTCTTCCTGACTTCTTCCTGACTTCTTAACTCTCCTTTGTGTCTGCATGTCTGTTCCATCTTCCTTGTCTGCTAACTTCCTGTGCTTACAGCTTCTACTTCCTCAGACACTGGTGTAGAGCCTTCTCTGGCCCCTCTTGCTTGCAGTTTCCACACTCGCCACATTTTTGGATCATTTTTGATATTCTCTTTTACTTTTTCTTCTGCATAAGTTACCTATACCATGACCACATTTGAATGAGTATACAAATTCCATTTTACAAAAGCAGAGCTCAAAACCCAGAGCCTAGGGTAGTGATTTGCCCAGGGTAGTACATGGGAAGTTGAGGGCCGGTCTACAATCCAGGTCTCCTGCATTCAGGTTCCTTCCCTCATGCCCGGCCATTTCCCCCACTGTCTGTGCCCGTCACTGATCCCAGTCCTGTATGGGATCCCCAAGTGCCCTACTCACATTTAACATCTGATGCCTTTTCTATAGGTAACTATGTCCACCTCTTGGCCAAAATTGATGATGATTTGGTGGTCAGGGCTTACACACCTGTCTCCAGTGATGATGACCAAGGCTTTGTGGACTTAATTATAAAGGTACATGATGCCCAGCATGTCCAGCTGCCACAAGCTGTGGCAGGGGTGAAGGGTGGCAGGGAGGAAGGGAGTGCTTTTCCCTGGGCATGGGAGGGATACACATCCTGCTCCTGGCTTTCCAGCAGTGTTGTTTCACAGTGAAGCACAGTGAATCTGCTGGTGTCTCCCAGGATTGCTTACACTGCAGGACCTCCTGTGCAGATGCATCTCCCAGCATGCAAGTCAGATGTGGCTGTTGCTGTAGGGTGTGAGAAATGCGCTGTCATATTTTTCAGATCTACTTCAAAAATGTACACCCCCATTACCCTGAAGGGGGCAAAATGACTCAGTACTTGGAGAATCTGAAAATCGGGGACACCATTCTTTTTCGAGGGCCCAATGGACGCCTGTTCTACAATGGGCCAGGTACTGGAGTGGGGAGGGGTTACACGCCGGACCACTGGCTGCCCAGTTGCCATTGGCAGGGGGAAGGGGAGAGAAGATTCCTGAAGTGGTTCCATTGTTCCAGAACACTCCTCAGGTCTGAATCACATGGGCTTGTCCTTCGAGTCTTCATATAGCCATTCACACCTAAACTCATTTACAACCACACCTTTTGCATACCCAACCCATTTGCATACCCATCTCATGAGACTTCTAAGCACAATGCCCCACATGCAAAGGATAGAAGCTAACTGAACAAGGAAGGGATGGATGAGAGGAGCTTTACTCATGTATCCATTTATTCATGTATACATCACTCACTCATTCACTGCTGTGGGTAAAGAATGTTCTGTGAGGTTCCACATTGGCCTGTTTGCCACTGTTCCCCCAGTGCACCACTTGTGCAACTGTGCACTGGGGCTGTTGAAGGAGCCACTGTGGCCTGCTCCTCCAGCCTCAAACACTGCAGCTGACCCCTGAGGTGGACGTCCCTCCTGGGAGACCCACAGCAAGTCAATAACCTATGGCAGGCTCTCAGGCCAGAGTTGCACAAGTCAGAAGCCTCCTTCCTGTGTGTCTCCAGGGAATGTCAGGATCAAACCATACAAAACCAGTGAGCCTGAAACAAAACTGGTGCATCACCTGGGAATGATTGCTGGTGGTACAGGTAAGAGGTTCCCGGGATCTCAGCAGAGGGGGAGTTGGCTTGGCAACCCTTTCATCCTGGCAGGGATCACATGAGAGCCACCTTCCCTGACTCTGGCAGCAGAACTTGGAGGCGATGACAAGTCTTGGTGTGCTCTGGGGACTGCCCAGGAGCCAGGAGCAGCCTCAGGTCAGGCTGGGAGTGGGAAAAGGGTACACAGGTTCTCCTGTGACCTCCCAAGGACCCTTGGCTCCAATTCAAGCCACATTCTTCCGTATCTCAGAAGGAAGGCCTAGAAAGAGGGACTTAGCCTTTCAGGAGACATCACATGTTGGACATGTCCCAGGCCCTGGTGAGATGATCACCTGTACTTGCCATTAATTCTGTCAAATGCAGAGAACACAGCATTTGGAACGCTTATTTACCTCACTGTGTGAAAATGAGAAAGCACTTGTGACTTAGGTTCCTGTTAGGAAAGACAAAACAAGGGGACAGGAAGGGGAGCCATCTGTACTGGGAACATAAGTGAGAGGCATGGTTAGGACCAGGGAAAATGTTGAAGCTGCCCCAGGCCAGGGCATGTGGCGTCAGTGCAGGGAGAAAGCTGGCCTACCCATTCACTGTGTTGTAGGCATTACACCCATGCTGCAGCTCATCCGCCACATCACCAAGAACCCCAAAGACAGGACCAAGATGTCCCTCATCTTTGCCAACCAGGTCAGTTCTGCCGAGTCAGCCCTGAGCTTGCAGTGGGTGGATGGAATGTTCGCTGAGCTGGGCTCTGCATTCAGTCCTCCCCCACTGAGTTCACCAAGCTGCTGCTTGGGTGTCTGCCCCAGTGGAGGCCTCTGGGCCTCACCCAGACCTAGCAGCTGAGGACGCTTTGTGCAGGCCCATTCTTCTGCTTGTTTCTGTTTAACCCTGCTGCCTCCCCAGCCAACACTTACCATATGCTTCTGTGTCCCTCTGAGCATAAATACAGAAGAACATTTATATTTTACTTAACCCTTTGTCTTTTTTCTGTATGTGTGTTTGCATAGGTATATATGCATCTACACTTCTACGAACAGATGGTTTAGTGTTCTTTTTATTCAACATTACCACACATGCTTTTTCCTCATTAAAATACTCTAAATATTTCCATAATTGTCTCTATCAAGTGGCAGTATAATCGACCACATTTCCTCCTGAAGTTCTCACGGATATAAATTAGGCTGTAATGAGTACCCATGCCTAGGCTTGATTACTGCTAGCTTTTCTGACCCAGAATCCCAGGAAGGAGTGATCAGGACTGGAATCCTGAAGAGTTGTGAGGCTCAGGACCTGTGCGCACCAGCTCTGAGCCTGTGACGAGTTGCTCTAGCTTTGGTCCCTTTTCTTCACATGTTCTTCCCTCCTGTAAGTCTCTGGTATTCTACCCTAGACTTCCTGCCCCCTCACATGCCTGGCAGAGGATCCAAGGCCTGCACCTGCTCATGTCGGGTTTGCCATGCCTGCTACTCAGTGTGATGTGGGAAGTGGGCTCAGGCCCTCAGAGTGAAGTCAGCCCCATGTGTGCCGTCACAGGACACCCCCATGCTCCCTGTGACTCCAGCCACAACTGAGTTGGACCTGCAGAGCAGCTGCCTGAACCCTTATTTCTCTGGCGTCTGGGAGCAGTACTCAGGCCAAGGTGGCACTACTATAGGCAGGACGCAGCAACTCTTGTCACATGCTCATCCTGGGGAGCAGACGGGCATTCCCAGAGGAGCTTTTCTAATGAGCCTTTTTTCTCCCCTAGACAGAGGAGGATATCTTGGTGAGAAAGGAGCTTGAAGAAATTTCCAGAACTCATCTAGACCAGTTCAGCCTGTGGTACACCCTGGACAGGCCTCCTGTTGGTATTGTGACCCCTACTACCCTCACTGTCTTGACTCAGCTCTGGCCCTTGATCCACCTCGAGGCCTGGGTTTTATGGTTTGGTTCTGTTCTTAAGCACAGGGCATGGGAGTGCCACACTGGCTTCAGGGTTCACATGGGAGATTTAAGGGTTTGGGATGATCACGTGGAAGGGCAGTCAAGGGCAGGTGTCTGGTATCCTAGCAGCTCTCTGCATATTAGCCTGAACCTCAGGAGGGACAGTGAGCTACAGGGCCACCCCAAACCCTCATCCCACACAGCTATCACATACTGCATCTGGTATGACCACTGGCCCCTTCACTCACACCACTGCTCAAGCCACCACACAGCTCAGCAAGCACTGCCATGGACAGCAGACCTTCCTGCTAAGCTCTGGACAGCTGCTGTGCCCTCTGTCAGTGTCCAACCACCACAGCGCACCTTTGCGCCCTTCATCTCCCTCACTAGATTATACAGCTTACTGCCCAGCAGAGGGCGCAAACAGACTGAGTGGTTCCACAGCAGGCCGCAGGCCCCAAATTCTCAACATCTCCTGGTTATACCTCAGTGAGGGGTTCACCATCCTTGGCAGCACTTACAGCAGGCAGGCCTACAAGCAGTGAGCTTGGGACTGAGTAATCACTGCAGATAGGGCTAAGAAACAACAATGCAAAGACTCTCAAGTCTGTAAACCTACAGTGACTCCCTTCTGGGAGCTAAGATAAGGGGGTAAGAGGTTGTAGTCAGGGACCTGACCACCAGGCCCCACAGTCTTTTCCTGCTTCATTTCAGGCTGGAAGTACAGCTCTGGCTTTGTGACCAGTGACATGATCAAGGAGCACCTCCCGCCTCCTGGGAAGTACACGCTCATCCTGGTGTGTGGTCCGCCACCCCTGATCCAGACAGCCGCTCAGCCCAACCTGGAGAAGCTGGGTTACACCAAAGACATGATCTTTACCTACTAACATCTCCCATGTGTGCAGCAAGCCTGGCTTCACCATGTTAAACTGGGCTGTTTGCAAAAATGCCTCATCAGTCCCCTTCTTTGGCTACACACACTTGGGTCTCCTCTTTTGAGTGTAAGACCAACAAGGGTTCAAAAGGCTGGAAGCAAAATGTCATCTGAGGCCTCCTGGCTTGGAGGCTAGGAAGAGCTCCATGTTTGTGTCTTTCTCCGTGGTTTCATGAAATAAACTCCAGTGCACAGCAGGTAGCCTGTGAAGCCCTGGTTCTCCCTGAGTCTGCTTCTGCACACCTAGGCAGGGTGGTGTCACAACTCACAGCGTCTACAGCAAATTCCAGAGGATCCAAGTGGGGCTCCCCAAGGTGCTCTGCTATTAAGGTTGGCTACAGTAGAGGGCTCAGACAGGAAAGTGTGCACTGTCCTTTCCTGGTGGGAGACCCTTGGGACAGGAATGAGTTTTAGACACACACACACACCTGGGCAGTAAATATGCATAGGGTGAGTGGGCTTCAGGATCCATTCCAGCAAGCGTCCTGTAAGTACAGGCTTGGTTCTGCCATGAAGGGCCAGGGTAGAGAGAGGAGTAGTTACATATGGAAGCTTCTCCATTTAAGGGTTAGGTCCCTAAACCTGAGCCATAAATCCTTCCTATACCAAACCCAAATGATAAAGGTCTGCCATTTACTGCCCGCACCTGTGAGTGGACAGGGCCAATTCTGTACTACTTAAAATCTTTCTGACAAGCCACATTCTGTAGGGACTTGTTCCTTCAGCCAGCAGGTAGCAGAGCAGGCTTAAACCTGGGTCAGCTTCATTCCAGATCATTTGCCTGTTCACAAAAATTGGATTTCCTACCCAGTCTACATATATATGAGGCAGGAGAGAGCTGTAGGGAGCTCCACAGTATGAGCATGTCTTGCCCACCTGTGGCCTCAAGCTGCAGGAGGGCAAGGGCAGCCAGCGTTCACCTATGACCCTGCCCAGTGTATCCTCTGCTGGGACTTCACAATAAGACCCTGCCCTCAACTATTTTCCTTTAGATGCAAATCTGACCGTAGTTGTCTGTCACTCAAACTGATGCTGCTTTCTATCTAGTCCCAACCTCAGCCACCCAGGCCCCAGGACACATTCCAGGGGCCAGCTTACAAGGTCTTTCTTGGCCTAACCCCTGTTCATCTCACCAGATTTTCCTTCTCACTAACCCTCATGCAACCCCAATCTCTGGCCAAGTAGTTCTCAAAAGGGGATAGTTTTATCTCTCCAAGGAATATCTGAAAAAAACTGGAGGCATTCTGGCCTTTAGATCCATTCGAAGATTGTTCCTGGCATCTAGACAATGAAGACCAATGTTGCATAATCATAGTGCAGCCTCCTTCACAGAGTGACCCAGCCCCAGTGACAGTAGCCACTGTTCTCATCTTACCAATGGCTGGCCACTGCTAGGGTGTGCAGGCTGTTCCAAGCTCATCTATCTGAATGTCCCCAGCCCCAGCATACCTTGGTAAGCAGGATCCAACATTCCACACACTCCATGGACTGAAAGCACCTGGGCCAGGAACTTCAGCCCTCACATCTGTAACTAAAGCCTCTTCCCAGCCCATGCAGGTACTTAACGCCACTGGAAGGAGAAGACAAGAGGCCTTAGGAGCACAGACCCCGCCCCCCCACAAGCACCTTGAGGACCAGGTTGGGCCAGCCCACAGCAGACTCTACGCCTTTATGTTGAGGGTGGGTAAGAAAAGACCACACCTAATTTCAAGGTGACCTAGAATGTGTACAGGCTCAAGGGCAGACACAGTTGGCCTTCAACTGGAACTTGAGTGTAGATCGTCCCAAAGAGGTAGACTCTATCTTGGGCCTTAACAGACAGGAAAGACCTGAGAATACTAAGACTGTACAGTGGGTTTGGTAAGGCTGCTGAGGGTGAAGGACCTTGGACTCTAGCTCTGTTAAGTCTGTACCTGTGGAATGAAACAGTGCTGTGGGAAGGTCACCCTGGTGGGAATGCCTGGAGGGGACCAGCTAGAAGGTGGAGGACCATGAAGGAGAGCAGCTGCAGCAAGCAGGTGAAAGATGACAATGGAACTACAGCTGTCATAGGGGGTCGGGGAGAAGAAGGGGAGAGAACACTGGGGGCTTGGCAGTGCCTCTCAGGTAGGAGACCCAGAGAAGGAACAGGTTTGGGAAGAGGCTGAGTTGCTGTGCCAATATGTTAAGGTTGGGTTTCCCCTTAAGGCTTAGGTTTTCCACTAGGGGGAACTGTTTAACCAGACACTATACCAGCAGCTAGCTACGAAGGGCAGGGCTGGGAAACTGCATGTGCTATGTGTGTTTGTCAGCTGTGTGCAACTGTGTGGTGGGGTGCTAGGGGGCCCTGCACACATGCACTGCAGATGAGGGAAGCCAGGGCAGCACGCAAGGAACTGTACCACCCCTTGCCTGTTCTCACCCTAAATACCCTGAGGGTGCCAAGCTCTCTGAATGGAAACAGCCTGGCCCCAGGCAGCCCCAGAGAGCTCCGTCATTTGCCCCAGCACAGTCATTGCAGCATGTCAGAACGTTAATTTCCAACAGAGACTTTATGAACTCACACTTCCTCCCCTCTGGGCTAAGAGCCTCCCGGCTGTCTCTGGGAAGGGAAGAGGCCACTGAATCTGTGCTGCCAGCTCCTTGCCCTTTCTGCAAACACAGGACACATATAAAAGTACAAAAAGTATAAAAGCCACAGAGGAGCACTGCGCAGTTGCAAACACAGGGACACCGGGCCACCTCCTGGGCACCTGCAGCTCTGCTTCACCCTGAGAGGGGGATTGCATCTGAGAGCTCTGGCCAGCCCCAGTCCAGGCTCTTAGGGTGGCTGCATGCCAGCTCCCCAAGGAAGCCAAGTTGCAGGGCCCTGCACGTGCCTCTCTGGGCGTTCAGCCACCGAGGGAAGTCATCTCCACTCATCAGCGTCCACTGCAGCCAGGCGAGAGTCGTTCAGCAGCTGGTCCTGGCTCAGCAGGGTCTGAAAGGGCCAAAAGGGGCAGTTTATCAGGGTCTTGGCCATGGCTGCTGTGAGGCAGCCACATGGCACTTTAATACTGAGGTTGATCCCTGTCAGGTCAGGGGGTCTCAGGAATCCTGGCATTAGGTCAGAGCAGATACTACTATGAAGATAAGCAGCTTCTCTTGGAGGTGAAATTGCTGCTTTGAGGTTATTAATGACCCATTAGAGGCCAAACAGGCACATTTCAGTGTGTGAGCAAAAACTAAAAAGAGGAATTCAAACCTCCCTGCTCCAGTTCAGGGACACTGCCCCAAGGGCCTTGAAGACAGGCTAATGCTCCTCAGTAGAGCAGCAAGTACAGGGTTTCCCTGTGCACAGACAACATAGCTGAGGGGCAGAGCTCAGAGTGCCCAGGAACAGAAGCGCCCTGGGAACTTGGAGACCTCCAAAACAAACCACAGCCAGCTTGAGTTTTCGCTATATGCATGCATTACAAGGAGGATAGTATTTTCCCATCTTCTAGGAAACCAAACCACAGCTCAGAAAGACACAGAAGGCGACGTCCAAGAGCCTGGTCCTTTACGGCCAGGGCAGGGGCTGGAATCACGTCTGCCCTTCTCCAACATACTGCTCCTCCTCAGACCAAGCTGCTTCCCTGTGGTATGGGCTGTACTTTCGCACGAGCCAGGAGGCACTTGTGGTGCCTGTGATCTCCATGAAGTCAAAGCATGCATGTTTCATGGGAGTCAGGAAGAGCAGTGACCACCAGGTCAGATCACAGGCCTTCCTTTGGTCAGACAGGTGATGCCGAGCTGCAGTGGCAGGGGCAGGACCTGGCCCCTGCATGCCTAGCCAGCCCCAGGAGCCTTGCTGATGGCCAGGACCAGCCAGCAGACTCCTGCCTCAGGGCTAGCTCAGACCTGGGGCTTTGGTCCCAGCATGTAGCCCCAATCCTTTTGTTCTTCCCCCTGCCACGGCACTGCCACATCAACCTCACTGCCCACTCCCCTGGACACCAATCCTTCTCCAGAGAGGGCCAAAGGTCCTACCGTAAGACGGTGAATGTCTTGGGAGAGAAGCCCTATCTGCGTCACAGTGCCTTCCGATGGTGCCATCTGTAAAATGGGCACAGCCTGGTCAGCACAGTTGTCAGCTGGTCATTCGCAGAGATGGCATGCAAGTCCAATCCTGTTGGGGACTGGCTTCTCCACGACACACTTCCCAGGAGGGATAGGCAAGAAGCATGTCAAATCCCAAGGAATAGTGGGTAGCTGGGGCACATGCTGCACACTGCATGCGCACTCTCTTCCTGGACATACCCATCAGTGGCACTTCAAATGTGGAGGCAGAGCATAGGCCTGCTAATATTCAGTGCTGCCACTATCTCCAGGAGCAGAGAGTGGTAGGCATGATGGCAATCAGAATGCTGAATAGACTGCTAGTTCCCAGGTACCAAAAGGACTCCAAATACCAATGCCCTGGCATAGGTGGGCATCCTCAGGAAGGGGCAAGCCCTCTACCTAAGAGGTCTCTTGCCTCCTTCCACTCTCAAACCACATTTGCATGGAGATCTGGAAGCATCCAAGATAGATTTTGAAGGCAGCAAGTAGAATCCCTTGTCTGTCTTATAGGTGGGAAAACTGAGGTCACAAAAGAAATGGGACATGCTTGAGGCTTGAGGCTGCACAGAGAATTAGTGGTCCAACAATCCCATGCAGTATTTACAAAGAGGTGCATGCAGACTCTCTCGCCAGGATACGAAAAGAAATAAGGGATAAAACCCACCCCAGCTGGCTCTCCACCTGCAATGGCCTGGAGGTACACCTGTCACTCAGTGGCCCTGGTTACCAGGACCAGACCCCAGAGATGTCAGCTGCTGAGCCTGGGTCCATCTCTCTGCAGCTACACTTCCAGGGTACCTCCTGAGGGACCAGGCTGGGCCTGAGGCAAGAGTGAGGTCACCAGGCCCCATCTGGGTTATGGTGCTGTCATTCTTCCACAGAGGAGGCCCAGGGGAACTGGTGAAGCCAAAAGCTACTCCCAGGCAAACTGGAATCTCATGAATAGGAGTCCAGACTGGCACGGTGTTGTCTGTCCATTACCCCCGAGCCAGACAGGGCCCATCTGGAGGACCCATTATCAGCTAGTCAGCCTCTAAATCAAGAGGACAGATCAGTCCCAGCTAGCACAGTCCAAACCCTGTGGCAGTTACAAAAAGCTGACAGAACCCAGGCAAGGTCAACATCCAGCCCAGCCGCTTTGATTGTCTCCTCACCACCCCTGGCCCAGGCAGCTGATGCTGCTCAAACAAACCAACTTTAGGGTCACATGATACATGTGATCTGCAGCTGGTGTGTATGTGTGTGTAGGAGGGGGAGACACAACACTCTCCTCGCTCTATCCACACCCACTCCCCCAGCAAAACCTGAGGATGTGCCTGGCTGAAGACTAGGCTCAGGGTGGTGAGCCAAATCATGTGATCAGCACGAATCTGTCTCCAGCCACGCCCAGCTCTCTTCCCCCTACCAGAGGAAGGATCTATTGCATTATTTGCTTTCTCACATAAATACTGTTTTTATTAACAGAAGGAAGCAACAACCACCTCTTGCAGTAAGGCACAAAACAATTACATTGTCACCATGGCAGAAATCCCTGCTGCTTGTTCCTTTGACCTTGGCCAAGACCCAGAGGCCAGCAGGCCTAAGGCACTTGAGTTTTTACCTCAGCCAAAGCATGGGGAGGTGCCTGAGGTCTGAGCTTCCTGGGTACCTGCTAAAAATGTATCTATAAGCATCTTTAGGAGCCTTTCCTCCTGCGTCCACCTTTGGCAATGGTCCCAATAGCCTGGCCCCTTGGCAGAAGTCCACCTCCATATCCTGGCCACCCTCAGGGCTAGAAGAGAGTCTTACCCGGGGGGGGGGGGGGTACATCATTGCTGGAATGTTCTCTGTGAGTCATGCACATGTGCAAGGGGGTGAGGTGCAGTAACATGGTGACACACGCAGTTACTGTGAGCTCTTGGGGTGCACAGAGGACAGGCGATAGGGCATCAGCTAATCTGTCCCACCTGGTCCAGCCCATCCAGTTCAGGGGAATCAAGGGGGCTGAGGCCCCGGTAGCCTCCATAGACTCTGTGACTGTCACCAACACCATCGCTGGGCTCCATTGGGCAAATGTAGTCTGTTGATTCATCAAACTTCTTCTTTCTTATATTTCCAAAATGTGAAAATCCTAGTTTCTTTGGCTGCAACATAGCAAATGCAAGCTTATGAGAAGGAGGTTATCAAGATGATGTACAGAGATGACATGATGATATTTAAAAGCACACCCATAAAGAAAGGAATAAGCTAAATTGTTTCTAGAAAAGCTGAACAAAGCAGAGCTCCCATATGCATATGTCCCTCCAGGATGTCACTGTACTCATGGTGAACAGGAGGACTTGCCTTACCACAGCTGCTGGCACCACCATACCCTGAGGAGCCATGCTGGAATGCCCCAGCTTGGCTTCTCTCTCCTGGCCCGAGCTGGCTTTGTGCTCTTTGGCTTTGCTTCCCAATCACTTGCTGCTCTACTTCCCCAGGAAGGAGGTCTGCGTGAGGCATGGCTGGAGCTGCGATGCCAACATGCCACTGGATGCAGGCTCAGCCTGGCCTCCCAAGACAGTGTCTGTGGGCTTGTAGACAAGGAAGGACATGGTCTGAGCACAGGGTGGGCCAGATAGGTGTCTAAGGTTTGTGAAATTTGGAGAAGAGCCCTGGCAGTACCTGCACAATCTTAAGACCTTTGCACAGCTATACAATGGGTGTGTCATACTAAGAGCTCCCAGCTCTGGGCATACTGACGGGCTGCACTACAGAATGACCAGACTTGGACCATGTTCAGTTTGCAAGATGAGTCCCAGCAACACTGGGTTGAAGGATGAGCTGCCAGCTGCCCAGGAATCAGTGCTTCCTAACATCGTCTCTGCGGAAGGAAGTCAATGCCCTCTGCCTTGGATATAAAGACAACAGACAGCAGGACCAAGCTCCTGCAGCAGGAGCTGAAGGTGCCTCTTCGTCCAGGCCATATTTTGGGTGGCTCCCAATGCTGGGCCAGCAGCTATACCATATGAGGGACAGGGGGCATGGCTGCTGAGAAAGGAACTTAAAACTCACCCGGACTTTGGCTGTGGTGGTCAGTGGCGTGTAAGCTGGAGAGGACATTTTCTCTCGTTTTTCCTGTTCAGCCTCAGGACCAATCAGGGCATTGAATTTGGTGGTCAGGTGGCGCCTAAGAAGTGTCTTTTGTGGCGGGATATTGAGAAGCATAGCCAGAGTGTCTCCCGTGAAACGTGGCTCCAGGATCTAAAAGGAACAATCCAAAGATCCAGCCAGTAGCAACCACAGATGGCCCAAGTGGGTGATACTGGGGAATCCTGGGGAATCCTCTGGGAATTCCCAGAGCAGGGGCTACAGCACTTGCACTTCCTCCCCATCTCCGCTCTCCACCAGCACACATGGCCAACTTGTGTTCCCATGCCAGCAGAGAATAGGGCCCTCTTTGATAAATCTTATCACCCACCGTCTTCTTGAGAAGACATCCAAGCCACCTTTATTTCCTCTTTGGTTTTGCCCTTTGACAGATCTGAATGTTGGTAACAGGTCATATCAGGGCAAACAGGAAGTTATTTTCAGATGGCCTACGCCTAATTTCCATAGCCACCATGTACCTCTGGGAACAAATGTGGCTGTCTTGGTAAAGGGTTCATCCTCATGCAACCCCTTTTCTATGAAATCTAGGCCTCACTTCAGATATCTATCCAGAAGCCATCTTGTTGCCATGAGGCATATTAATTCTCAATTAATACACAGATTATCAAAACACCTTCTCTGAGACTTCTGAATATGCAAGGGTTTTAGATAACCTGTCTGAAGCTTCTATCTGAGCCTAAAGACTGAGTTTCCAAACACCTTGTGTGTACCAGGGCAGACAGATATGCCCAAACACAAACACTCACAATGAGACCGCCATGGACGCCACTCCCTCGAAGGTTGGGGGCGTACTCTGCCAGGTCCACTGATCGCAACCACTCCATCACCCTGTGGTTGGACCACTGCACAACTTCTGAAGGAGAGAGGTTACTCTGTGAGGGGAATAAAGAGAAGACAAGTCAGGCTTACTAATTCTCACCAGTGTCTTTCCTGGAGTCAGTCCCAAATGCCTTACCAGAAAAAAAGACCCCTATGCCTGAGGACCCAGGCCAGCCCAACAGCCTGAGAGCATTCCCTGGGTCCAAGAAGCACAGTTCACACTGAATCCTGTGGGGTCCTCCGTACTGACATGTCTCAATTCAGAACGTTGCTTCACTCTCAATTTTCAGTTGCTCTGGGACACAGTAAGGAGGGCACATACTTATTCATTTGGGAAGGCAATATTCACTCTAAACGTGACTGTCAGTTATGAAGTGAAAAGATCTCCAGGTGTGGCCAAATGCGGTAGGTGACACACATTAAAATACCCAAGTGCCCTCATAGGGCACCAGTTTTCAAAATGCACAGCCCTATGTCTGACACACAGAAGGCATGCGACACAGATTTGTTGACTAGGGAGAAACAGGAGATGGTGGGTATAGGCAGGAATTTTACTCCCTGACGAAGCTCAGTTAGACTCAGTTCCCAGCAACAGAGCAGACAGGATATGACTGCTAATCCTTCAGCTTCAGGGCTTGCCAAGGAATCTGAGCTTCATGGCACTTCATCAAGTACTTCACTAGGATTTGGGCTGCTCTGCTCACCAACACTATTTCTTCTTAGTTAAGACCTTCCCACAAAGCACCTGTGTGCCTGGCTGCAGGTCACTGACTGTCATATCTATAGATAGGGAGACTTACTGGGGATCATCTGGCTCCTTACTGATCCCCTTTCCTTCAATATATTTTTTTAAAAGATTCATCTATTTTTATTGGAAAGGCAGATATATAGACAAAAAGAGATACAGGGAGAAAGAGCTTTCGTTCACTTATTCACTCCCCAAGTGGCTCTGCAACAGCCACAGCTGAGCTGATCCAAAGCCAGGAGCTTCCTCTGGGTCTCCCATAGGGGTACGGGGTCCCAAGGCTTTGGGTCATCCTCTATTGCCTTCCTAGGCAACAAGCAAGGAGTTAGATGGGAAGTGGAGCAGAAAGGACACAAACCGGCAGCCATATGGGATCCTGGGTATGCAAAATGAGAATTTAACCTCTAGGCTATTGCACCAAGCCCTTCAATCTATTTTGCATCTACCTCAACACTTGGCTTTCCTCTTCTTGGCATCATCCCCTACTCCTTTAGTCATCATGATGATTCTGACAGGCTTGTTGCCTCTGCCAAGTAGCTCACAGTGTATGTCTCCCAAAGGAATTAGGGGATCCAGGAGGTCTAGGAGCTGCTAGGGGACACATAGAACAGGCAACTGGGGAGTCTTTGGCATCATGAGGCATTAGCAAAGGAAAGAACACCAAGTGCTGTGGTCCAGCATGAAGCTGTTTCATGATGCCATCCCTGCTTCCACATGCCTTGTTATGCTGTCCTGACTTGGAGACACTGGATAAGACACCATCCTGCCCTCACCTCATCTGCTGGCCGCCGGTGCAGGCAGTGGGGGTTGAACTTGTTGACATGCAGCACATGAATGGCACATTTGATGCTGAGATGATGCAGCTGGCTAGTGACTTTTAGGAAGAGTAGATCATTCTGGAAGAGAAAAATTTGGTGGTGGGCGAATTTTCTGATGGAAAAATCTTTCCCAAACCAAGCATAAGCAAGTCTGAATCCAAAATTGTGTTCCTTTCTCATTTTCTGGTTAACGTTAAGTGGAATAAATGAGAGTATATAGATATTCATTCAGGAAAGTACTCATGGGTGCACTAACCACTTGTCTTATCATAACAATTTACACTGTGTTACTGGGGATCTCTTACATGACATTTTCGAGGCCATAATACAAGGAAGAATGTGAAACTAAGTTTAAAATAACACTGCATATTTGGTACAACTAAGCTGAACACTCACAGAAACAACTGAAATATTTACAGGAAAAATCCTTACCACAGTTAGATATTGCAGCATCCGTCCATCAACTCTGGATTCATGAAACTGGTCTTTGTACTGGGGTAAGCCTATGTCATCAAGCCATCCTGCAAAATCAGAACTCATAAGAATGGGATGTAGATACCTTGCACTCACCCACCTGCACACCCCATTACTAAACAAACAAGCAAACACCTAGCATGGTGTCACTTTGAGGCTTACTTCTATTTATCAAAGTTTTGTACTCCAGCTGCCTTCTGTACTAAGAAAGTTGGACTGAATACAGTCAACAGTGAAATGCTTTACACGTTCAGGAACTTCTGGAAACATTTAACATTCATATGGCTGTCCTTACGTGTCACCCAGATGTGGTCCAGCAGGGCAGAATTCTCCTCCTGCTTGGTGTTGATGGCTTTCACTGCCAGTATCAGTTTCTTCCTGTGAAGTGGGTGCTTAATTCCCAGCTCCTGAGAGGACAAGAGGAGGAACACAGGTAGAACTCTGGCAAGTAAGCTGGTAACCTGGTCCTGAGAGGACACTGTGTCAGCTGGGGAGGTGGGGTTGGCAGAGGACACTCTGGAAGGGGGACAGCACTTCTCTCCATAGAGTCGCAGGCTGTCAGTCTTTGGTCCTGGTCTCCCTCAGTCTTCCCTAGGTCTTCCTAAGCTTCTGGGTGTGGTGGAGATGGACACTCACCTCCCCATGCACTGGTTTGGGATGAGTGGGAACCTCCTAGCCTGAGCTCAGACCTTACCTTTTCCATGTCCTGAGGTGTAGCTGTCAGCAGGGTGTGGCCGGAAGTCACCCACTGCCTGGCAAAGATCACATACTGTGCCAGGCCAAAGTCCTCCAGCCATGCACACACTCGCTCCGTGCTCCACTGGGCAAAGGGGGCGTTGGCATCACTGGGAAACAGAAAAACAGCAAGTCCCTGTCAGCGGGAAAGCCTAAGCTTCTGAATTTGGCAAAGCCTCACAAGAAAGGGACTGTACTCTAACAAATAATCCCGACTGCAGGATTTACATGAACAAAATTCTAGTACAATCCACCATGTGAGCTACACAGACCACAGGATTTCTTTGCCAGACCATGGTCTCAATTTCACATCTCCTGCTCCTTAGAGAAAGGACAATCTAGATAACCAGGAGTTGAGTTTCCATTCCACAAGTCCATGTACACCGCACATGCCACAGGTTTCAACACATCACACACAACACAGGTATGTGAATGCTGGAGGAAGAAGACCCACAACTGAATAATCTTTCACCAAAGACAAGTACTATTTTTAGGAAAACACACAGAAAACTAGGAACATTTCTCTAAGATTCAAAACTAAACTAAACTAAAACAATAAAATCAGGGCCAGCATTGTGGCATAGTATGTTAAGCCACTGCTTGTGATGCCAGCAACCCACATGAGTGCTGGGTTTGAGTTCTAGCTGCTCCATTTGTAATCTGGTTCCCTGTCAATGCATCTGGGAAAGCAGCAGGAGAAGGCCTAAATCCTTGGCTCCTATACTCACATGGGAAATTCAAACGGAATTTCAGGCTCCTTGCTCAGTCTGGCAGTTGTAGCCTTTTTAGGAAGGAATTAGTGAGTGAAAGAACCCGCCCCCCCTACCTTGCCACCTCCCCACCTGCAGTCAATCTGCCTTTCAAATAAATAAAATAAAACTTAGAAAATCAAAATCAAAGTCCAAACATCCTCAATCAATGATAATGCTATTAACATTAGTTTGAGAATTACAGATAGAATAAAAGATACAATGAAAATAATATAGAGCTATTACAAAGGTAGAAATAAGTCTTTCTTATTTAGATGACAGATTGCCTACCTAGAAAGCCCAAGAGAGTTCAGTTTGGTGGCTAGTAATAAAACATATCCATAGCATGTATGTCATACATAAACAATTTTCAACATAGCATCAATGTACAGATACCAACAGTTTTGTTAAAAGACATTTGAAATCCAGCCCGTAGCAAACAAAACTATAAAATTCCCTAAAAAAGGACTGTGTGGGCCTGTATGACTGTGCATGGGGACTGGGGCAGGGTGTGACAGGAGCAAGATGATGTGGTAACTACAACACCGAACCGAGCAACCTAAAAAAGACATGAGTAAGTGAAGCACTAGGTCATGCTACTGGACAACAATGACTTGGGTATTAAAAGTCATCCATTATTAAAGACAGCTATTTTTTCATGTAAAGTGTGACTTTAATGGCACAGTGAAAATCCCTCCAAAGTCTCAGTCTCTCTCTCTAAGATGTATTTATGTACGTACTTGGAAGGTAGAGCTACAGAGAGAAAGAGAGAGAGAATCTCCACCCACTGGTTCACTCCCCAAATACCCATAGCTGGGTTAGTCTAAAGCCAGGGACCAAGAGCTAGGAGCCTCCTCCAGGTCTCCCATGCAAGTGCAGGAGCCCAAGCACCTGGACCACCTTCTGCTGTTTTCTCTAGGTCAGTGGTAGGGAGTTGAATTACAAATGTTGAAGCCACAGGTGGTAGTTTAATCCACTATACTAGGGCACTGGTCACCCTGCAGAGAATTTCTAAGAGAGACTGATAGAACTGCTTTATATTTTTTAAGTGAATGGAGATTTATGAAAGGTTAGATATCCATAAAGATCCCTTCTAGATAGTATGGAGGGTTGGCTCCAGGACACCCCATTTTTCCCAACTAGACACCAAAACTCAAAGGTGCTCAAATCCCACTTACAAGATGGCTTATTTTTTTAATATAACTGACACACATCTTCCTATTCACTTTAAATCATCTCTAGATTACATGTATACCTAATAAAACTTCTAGGAAACCTATTGTTACATTATTTTTTTTAAAAAATGTCTTGAACTGCTTGGTACTGACACAATCATTACAACTGTAGGCTGAACTATATTTTGACCCCTGACTAGTTGAATTTGCACATGTAGAACTCACAGCTATTTTGAATTAACAAGCTGTATTTAAAAAAAAAAATAAGGCTTGACTACGATTCTTAATGTGAGGGTATTTCTCAAGAAGTCAAGAATGACAAAAGAACCTATTCTAGAACCAATGATAGAGATGATGACTACCCTGGCACAGATGCTCATCAGGCATATCCTAGAGCCTGGGCATTCAGGGCAATAAACAGGTTGTAAAGCAAGTTTTATGAGATTTGGAACTTACAGAATATGGGCTATTCTCTTTAAGAAGGGCGTAACATTTTAATGTAAAATTAGGAACCAAACACATCTTCATTTATAATGAGAAAACAAATCCTTTAAAAAAATCACAAACCGGGCCCGGCGCGGTGGCGCAGGTGGTTAAAGGTCCTCGCCTTGCACGCCCGGGATCCCATATGGGCGCCGGTTCCAATCCCCGCAGCCCCGCTTCCCTTCCAGCTCCCTGCCTGTGGCCTGGGAAGGCAGTCGAGGACGGCCCAACGCTTTGGGAACCTGCACCCGCGTGGGAGACCCGGAAGAGGCTCCTGGCTTCGGATCGGCATAGTATCGGCCCGTTGCGCTCACTTGGGGAGTGAATCATCGGACGGAAGATCTTCCTCTCTGTCTCTCCTCTCTGTATATCTGCCTTTCCAATGAAAAAATAATAAAAATAAATCTTTAAAAAAAAATCACAAACCGAAAAACACCACAGAATCCAGAAAAAGTACTTTTATTAACCCTGGATATGCCCCTACAGAACTGTTTACCCTCCAATTTTGAGTGCATAGTTTTTAACTGCTCCTTCACAGTTCTATGTCCACAACTCTATACTATTTTCTATCAGAAAAAAGGTTGATTCTGCATTTCCTCTGGCATGACTCATTGATATTTTTATTATGATAAACTAAAAAAGGTTCAGCTTCACAATTTATGAATGGAATCCTTTAAATTCTACAAAATATCAAGCGTCTTTTCTACGTAGTTGTAAAACAACACAGTATTCAAGTTTTCTTATGCTGCAGCAAATCTTAAGTACACTCTGAATTGATCATATCCTTTAACTAGTATGTTGACAACACCCCTATGGCATTAGCATGAATTTTAAGTTATTCTGGTTGCTGAAAAAATAATAACAATAGCAGCAGCTACAGCAACAAATAATTCAATCAAGAAAACAGCGTTTTTTGAAGGTGTTAATCTGATTCATTTTATATTTTATATAAATAATGGGCCAGCACCATGGCATAATTGGCTAACCTCTACCAATGTCCCATAAGGCACTGCTTGGTGTCCTGGCTGCTTTACTTCTGATTCTGCTCCATGCTTATGGCCTGAGAAAGCGACAGAGAATGATGGTTCAAGTCCTTGTACCTATTGAGACCTATAAGAAACTTCAGGAATCATTCTGGGAGCCATTTGTACACTGAGACAGCCAGTTGATTAGAGTCCAATAAAGTGAACAACTGCAAACCACACACATATGTCTCACTGAACCCAAACTAGATTGATCTGCAACTTAACTTCGCCTTAGCAGTCTGACTGGAGACCTGTCATGAAGGACAACTCACTTAGTGGATTAGTTCAGAAAACCCTCCTCCAGCTGTATGGCCCTAGAACCTGCTAGCCTAGACATATAATATGCAACTAAAGCTTTCTTGAAAAAAAAAAAAAAACTTGTATTAAAGTCACAAACTAAACTAGATCTTCCAACAGAGTATTTAAACATGGTTTTCATAAACCATGGAAAAAATTGAAAACCAAATGAGGAGAGAAATCACAAAGGAAAGGAAAAGTTAATGAGCTTCATAATATATGAAACATAACAAGCTCATATATCAAAGCATCACAAGCAGAAGTAAAACTGCCATAAGCCTAAAACACTATGTCACAGCAACTGAGTATACTTAATATCTTAGTCTACAGAGCTTCTAGCTCCTGGCTTCACATCAGCTCAACTCTCAAAGTACTTTCCTTCAAGAATATTTGTGACAACATTCAAAAAAGGTTACACCTAGATACTTAGAAATACCAGAGGTCACTAACACAAATTTCCCTTAAGGGTAATAAGGTTTTCATTTTCCACCAGCAAATTCATTTTTGTTACAACATTGAATTGTTATGAGAAAGACAACAATCTCATTAAGACTTGTTCATCCAAATTCCCTTTATCATCCAATGTCATAGATAACAAAGCACAAAGACTTTAAAACAAAGTGGCTCTGTAACTGGAACTGCAATTTTTTCCCTTTGGCAATGTTTCTAACATTGGTCACCCTGACTTCAGAGTGACTGGCAGATGACAAATAGGCTCTCTATCCACGGCGTTGAACCCCAGGACAAAGGCCCAAGTAGCCTAAAATTCTCTCTGACCCAGTGTTACCCATCTAGAATTAGGACTTACAGAAAAAGCCAGAAGTAAAACAAAAACAAACCACTCAAGCTTATTGGAACTTGATTTTTTTCAACAACAAAGAAAGCTGAAACAGAAAAATCAGAAACAAACAAAAAAATACCTAAATTTAAAAACTGCTAACAAAAACATCTCAATATGACATATATGTATGCCTGTGTGTGTTTATATATACACATACACATATATATGCATACATATATACATACACACACAAAATTATGGAAACTGTGACTAAGCTTTTTTTGATTCATTTTCTACTGGCTGATTTGGTGTTAAATTTCCCACATTGTGTCTTTACAGTCTCTGAGTATGGGGCCTGGCACGGTAACCTAGTGGTTAGAGTTCTTGCATTCCACAAGCCAGGATCACATATGGGCACTGGTTCATGTCCCAGAGGCCCTGCTTCCCATCCAAATCCCTGCTTGTGGCCTGGGAAAGCAGTAGAGGATGGCCCAAAGCTTTGGGACCTGCACCCACATGGGAGACTTGGAGGAGGTTCCTGGCTCCTGGCTTCAGATAGAGCTCAGCTCTGGCCGTTTTAGCCACTTGGGAAGTGAAACAGTGGACTTCAGATCTTCTTCTCCTCTCTCCTCCTCTCTATATATCTTTCTGATAAAAATAAATAGTTAAATAAATCTTAAAAAAAAATAGAGTCTCCGAGCTCTAAAACATTCACCGAGCATTACCATATGTGACTAGCATAGGAGCCCGTGTAGGTGAACATATTTTCACCCTCTTTTCTAAGGCACCAGGAATATGACAGGTCGGGATAGTCAGCAAAACATACATGGGTCTGGGAAGGTTGTAGCTTCACACACTGGGAGGACATGGCAGAGTCTGGAAATGAGAGCCTGGTGAGCTCATTTAGAGAATACCACACCCAAGTGTAAAAGAAACTGAAGCTCCCTTCCACAGGGAATGCTGATCTGTGAATACCATGCTGTATTCAGAGAAATACTCTTTTTCTTTCACTGGAACCTAGACTGCATCGTCTCTGAAAACTGGTATTTAAGTTTTGTGTACTTTACCTTGGCTTTGCATTGGTGGATGGCAATCTTGAGGGGATTAACTTAAGAATGCAATCCTACTTTCCACCTTTTTGATTAGATTTAAAATCCCCAAATCTAGTTCTGCAGAAGGTCTTCTGAAATACTAGTCCTGGCTGAATAACTCAAAGGCCAGGAACTATTTTGTCAGGGATAATGTTGAGTAGGAACGCATGTTGGGAGGATATGTAAAGGGGCTTCGCAAACATACTCCTCCAAGCAGGGAGTCAAAGAAAGAGGCGTGAGGGTAGTAAGTGAAAGAGTGTCTACCAGGGATACTTCAGGTAAAACTTAATGTTGATTTTTATACAGTTGTGTGGAGTGTAAACCACTTTAAATCTAGCCCCACATATCCTCTTACACCCCTTTTTAGGTAATCACTGCCAGTAGTCTGGCTCAGTATGGTGATGAAGGATAAGAGTGATGAGTCTGCTATGCCAAGGCCCTTCAGAATAGCCTGTACAGAAGGAAGGGGTTGATCAGAAGGTCCCCAAAGTGACGGTGGCCCTCAAGTGGCACACAGTTTATATCAACATGAGAAGAATTTTGATGAGATACACACACACACACACACACACACACACACACACACACACTCACTCACTCTTGGCTTAGGACTCACAGCTTACAGAAGAATGGTCAGAAATTTCAACCCAGGCTTGGGATTCCAGAACCTATACTGCTATGATTATGATTATTAATTTTGGAAATACAGAGAAAGACATACAGAAACAGAAACTGTACATGAGTTCCTATCCACTGGCTCACTCTCCAAAACCCTAATTTGCCGGGGGTTGGTCAAGGCCAGAAATTTAGTTTATATCTCTAATGCGTGTGGCAGAAATCCAATTACTAGAGTCAAAGCTGCCTCCCGGGGTCTGCATGAGCAGAAATCTGGAATTAGAAACCAGATTTAGGAACTAAACCAAGATAATCCTTTTTATTTGGAAGGCAGAGTTAGTTACAGACAGAAGGAGAGAGAAAGAGATCTTCCATCTGTGGGTTCACTCCCCAAAATAACTACAATGGCCAAAGATGTGCCAATCTGAAGCCAGTGGCCTGAGGCTTCCTCCAAGTCTTTCACATGGGTTAGCAGCCAAAGGATTTGAGCCATCCTCTGCTGCTCTCCCAGGCCATAAAAGCAGAAAGCTGGCTCAGAAGTGGAGCAGTCAGAACTTGAACTGCCACAATATGGGATTAGGGTGCCAAAGGCAGAAGCTTAGCCAAGTATGCCACAGCACTGGCTCCAGGATGTGAATTTCTTAACCCTTGTCTTAACTGCTGCCCTAAACAAGGCACCCCTCAACCTGCACTGATGAGAGCTGCACTAGAGCTTCTCAATCCAGTGCGCCAAGGCACAGCTGAGGATGAACTACAAACATTCAGAGCTACTGTTAGGAGCCAAAAGACTGGCATTGTGACATGGTGAAAGACCTTAGAACAAACTCAGATCAACTTTCTTGACTTTCCTTTGTCTGTTTTCCTCATAGCACAGGGAGAGGTTTTCTGTGAAGTTAGTTCATCATCTGTCCAAAATTTGGGCCCAAAAAGAAGACAATTCCCTCTGGGATTTCTTTCCTGAGCTTTCACCAGGTAAACATATTACAAGAAAAGAAAAATGAGTCTGTCAACACACCTGGTAGACTTTTGTCACACACTATTGTCCTCTATTTTCACCCAATAGGAAATGATTTTGAAACCATCATTCATTCTGTGGGCCCAAAGGCTTTGTCCCAGGGCCATTGTATGTTTTCCAAACCTTTAAAAATTATTTGCTGACATTCCCTATTTTCCCATGCTTACAGTGAAAGGAGTATACAAACTTCTGAATAATGAGCCTGAGCTAGCAGGTAACTTACAACCCTGTAACTTTATGTTATGACCACCACCCCTTACTGTAAATAAACCTGTACACCTTTTCCCCTATTTGATTTCTGTCCATTTATTCTAGTGAGCCTTCAGGGCTAGGGGGGAGTTTCCTTTGTGCCTTCAGTGTTGAGATGCTCAGGGAGGCTCAAGGCTCCAGAAACCTCCAAATAAAGGGAGCCTTTTGCCTTCACCTCTGTGTATCACAAACACAAGCAACACCCAAGGTGTCAAAGGGGCAAGCTGAGCAGCTCTCCGCTCAGGACTGCTGCCTTCCGTCTCTGAAGGAGGCAGAACATCCAGACCTCCTTCCTCACTCTACTTCGGTCAGGGTTTCCTAACAGCTCTTTGCAGATGGACTGGAAGGGCCTTACCTTTTTTGTCCCTTGGAGTCTCTGGTCCTAGAGAGCCTTGGCCCTGCAGTTGCTCGAAGCCCACCTCGTCGAAACTCTGCCACTCCCGGTGCATCAGTGTTGAAATTTCCTGATTGAGTTCTTCGGATTCTGCATGGAGAGGAATCCATAGAGACTGTGAGGAGATGGTGGCAGTGCACACATTCCTCTGAGGGCCCTGCAGGCCAGACCTTGTGCTCTAGAAGTCATTGCCTCCCACTCCTTCTCTGGAGCTCAAGGATTAGAACCTGTTATAGTCCCTTCATCAGACTAAAACCTCAACTCCACTCCTGGGTGACAAGTGCTCAGCTTTCTGTCTTAAAACACTTAGGACACAGAATGACCCTTAAGAGGGAATTCAGATTCACCCTCATCTGTGTGTCTCAAGTCCATGTAATACAAATGATATGCTGGTGATACAGGTGATATGCTGAGTGTGTGAGGTAGGTTGATGCCTGTACTGATCGACATCTAAGACAACTGGCTAGTGTAGTGGGCATCTTTCATACTTCTCTCTATGGACTCTGAAAAAATAGCTCAAAACATTCTCTTTAAACATGACTGCTTTGTTTTCCTATTGTTGCCATATATGGTGGACTAGGGGCTTCCAAAAACTGCTTTCCCTGTCAAAAAGAAAAGTAATTCCAAACATGTAATTAAGATTATCATTAACAACTTACTTTCCCCAGAATTTTTTGATGCCTTTGGGGCTCCGTTTACCATCAGGTGTCAAGGGAGACTGGGGTCCTGACTCAGTACCCGATGATGTAGATGAGAGGTCATTGGCCATGGCAGTGTCATCCCAACCACTTTCTGTGTCTCCTAAGGTTGAAAGGATGCAACATATGTGAAAGAGAATACAGGACATGACCTTAGGGTCGCTTCTCCCCCAAGCCTGAGACATCTGTTATGGAAGTCTAGAAGAATCTACCCAGCTGTACCTTTAAGGCACAACTCCACACCAAGTTCCCACAGACAGACCACAGGGACTCAAGCACACTTTAAGTTTTCTCTCGAGGAGTTAGTGAGCTCAGTGTTTTAAATCTGGGTAGATAGTGTGTTCAAATTCTAAGAGCTTGGAGTTAAAATACTTGTAGATGATTCCAAGAAGGAGCTCACTTTCTTTCCTCAGAGAGAGATTCAGGAATGCAGGCAGGAAGGGACCAAGGAATTAAGGTAGGGAAACAAAGGCATTCTCACTCTCCACCTCACCTGGAACAGGTACAGTACCTAATACGGGGGCACTGGCACTCCTGCCACGATCTCCAGCCAACCAAGAAGCAGAGAAGCCACATGAAGAAACAAGAGAAGCCAAAGTCCAGCCCAACACAGTTATGAGGGAAGCAAAGAAATAAACAAGAGAGAATCATCCAGCAAGAGAAAAAACTCAAACAGAAAGAAAAATAATCCCATGGAGAAGGATAGGTAAGTGGTCACTGAGCTTGGCCCACAGGCTCAAGTGCACTGACAGGAGGCATCACTGGAAGGGATCAAGTGCTCCTGGTATCACTTTCTGGGAGGCTGAGGTTTCTATATATAGGACCAGGGAGGGAAAAGAGGTGAATACAGTGGGCTTATGCACTTCTTGTGTAGGTGCCAGGTCTTACTCAGCTCAGACTAGAATGAACCAGAGCTGCCATAGTCTAGTCCATGTGTCATTAGACACACTAGTTCAACAGCTTGTCTGCAGCTTCTGTAGCCAAAAGTACAGCACAGGGCTGGCTCAGGCAACGGCTAACGTTGAGCAGTCAGGACAAGGAGAGCTCTACTCAGACCAGAACATTGCCTTCTGTGCCCCACTAAATTTGCTGCTGCTGGTAAAAAATAATCCCTTTTGGATGAAAAGTTGTAAAGACTTCCATGGTTTTAAGTCCCCATCACTAGAAGGATACCTGTAGACTGACATCCTTGCTCACTGACCACTGACTCCATTTGCTCTCACTTGGAAGAGCACATACTATCATACTACTGGGGATAGGGAGGCTGTAGACAAGAAGACAGAGAAAGGAGAGAGAAGATCAGAATCACAGAGGAAGGAGGAGTGAGTCACAGGAGGGGTAGGCAGGGGTTCAAGAGAGGTAGAATAGAAGAGGGGAATGAGAGTGGAGTAACACAGGATATGCTTGCAGCATGGTTTTCTGGGATGCTTAAGTGTTTATCTTAGAAAATAGCTTTCCCAGATACACAGCCTCTAAAAGTAGGACCACCCTGAAGTATAACTTGTTCCAGCTCCCAACCGCTCCACTCTCCAGCTATCCACTGTAACAGTAGGTACTAGGATTTCACATAGTGATTGAAAATATCAATCTGGGCTGCTGTTCCAAAGGCCCTCAGCCCAGGAGTTAGACACTCACTCAACCTCAGCAGGCTGCTCCCGGTGGCATCAGGCTGGGAGGCAGAAGGATTAGACTTGGTGGCCTCTCCATTGGTGGTGGCTCCTGAATGCTTCCCAGGTAACGTTGGATACTTGTGGTCTGACACAAGAGGGTTGTCCTAGTGGGAGGGAAGAGACAGAGAGAGGGGGACAGGTGCTGAATTAACCCTCAGTCTTAAACCCAAATCTAGTGAAATCTTTGGATACAGGAACAATTTCTTGGTTCTACTGGAATCAACTGAAGTTAGGTTGATCAAAAGATCTTTTGAAGACCACTTAGGACAAGAAAGTGGACCAGAGTTCTCAGAAGGGAAGAGATTTGCCCAAGACCACATTGTGAGACAAGGACAGAGCCCAAGCCCAGGGCTGACTACACTTGTCTCTAAGCAAGAAGTGGAGGTGTCTTGCAAAGAGGTATTTGAAAAAATTTACAGAAAATACATACTATGAAAAAACTATGCAAGAGCTTCAAAATGTACACCAAATAACTATGCCTTAATTCCATTTCGATGAAATTTCTGAAACACCCTCATATGTATGTGTGCAGACATACATGCACAATACCATAAGAGAGAAGACTAAGGTCGCTACGGAGTCAGTCTCCCTCTTTTCCAGTCTGGCGCTTCCACTAAGCAGTGAGAACTCTCATTGTGACTAGGGAGGGCAGTTGTCAGCAGAACTTGAGCCAACAGTACAAACTGTTATTGGTCTAGCCCAGGAAAGGGTTATGCTACATCAAGGGGATTAATGTAATCATCTGAAGCTACAGAGAAGACATCTCTATTGTGTTAATACTTATTTTAGAAAATATCATGTTAAAGCAAAGCAAGAAGGTGCACACTCAGGCAAGATAACAGGAAGTAGATGACAGAATTCATGCCAAAGAGAGTTTGTTAAGGAATCTAGAATCTTTATCTGCATGAGGCACAGCCTAAATGCAATGGAATCTTGTATGTGGACCCTGGGCATGAAAAGGGTCCTAAATGGACAAGCTGATTAAAAAAGTAATAAAGCTTATTTGATCAAGAAGCATATGGTCCCTGAATCTGCAAACCTGAGGAGAAAATGCTGTGAGAGTGAAAATAAAAACAAAGAGAGTAAAAGAAAGAGAGAAGAAGGCGGAGAGGGTGAAAGGGAGAGAGAGATTTGAAGCAATTGCAGGAAGACTAATCAGATTTCAGAACTGACAAACAGAAATGGGACATTTGACATGGCCAAGACAGTTTTGGAAATTTCATTTAGCACAAAGGTGCAAAGCACTTCTGAATTCAGCTTAGCCTGTAAGTATATGTCTTAGAAATCAAAATCCAGCTCATTCATTGAATATTAAATATATCTCCATACAGAAAAGCTCTTAAAGAGATATCACAAGAAGAGGTAAAAATCACTAAAAAAAACCTGAGATACTGACCAGTGATATAGAACTAATTAATATCTTTAAAGGATGAAGACTATGAGATTTTCAAAGTTCATGATGACCCATGAGATAGATGTTGAACATGATCAGACATGTGATCAAAGCCAATAGTTTCCAAATGCTAGATCCTATGCCTGCTGCTTCATATTTGCCTAAGGCACTTGCAGAAAGCAACACTAATTATAGGTTCCTTTCCAGCTGTATAAATCAGCCCCTCCATATGTACATCTCAGGAGTCTGAATTTTTTTAAGCTTTATTTTTTCATTCACTCATTTGGAAGGCAGATTGACAGAGTGGGAGAGGGAGAGGTGGGATAGCAAGATCTTAAAATTGCTGGTTCTCTCCACAAAGGCCTACAGCAGCTAGGGCTGAGCAAGTACCAACCTTGGAGCCCAGAGCTCCAGCTGAGTCTCCCACGTTGGTGGTGAGAACTCAAGTACTTGAGGCATCATCTGCTGCCCTTCCAGGCACAGCAGCCAGAAGCTGAAGAAATGGAAAAACCAGCACTCTGATATGGGATGTGGCATCTTAAGTGGTGGCTTAATTGTAGTGTGACACAATGCCCACCCCAAGAAGTCTACAGTTTTAATAAGCATCTCAGATTAGTATAATACGTAGATACTGGAATGGTTGGTCATGGGAAGGGTTTGGAGAATAGAAAGCCTATTACACAGGAAGTGCCCAAAGGGGAAGGGCTGTCATAAATAGGTTTCTAGTTGTGTCATCACAAAGCTCTCCCAAAACAGGACAGAGAGACTATACAAGTTTGGAGCTCCCTGAGGAACTGAGATGTACAGAGAACATGCACCTGACATGAGGATAGGGTTCAGACCTATAAGAAACACACTGAAAGGACTCTATTGTGTTCTATTAAAAGGATTCTCTGTGCTCTTTTCAGGCCAAGGAGAAAAGCTGTTAAGAATAACTCACTGTTGGAAAAGCTAGTGTGATGTTAAGGCATGATATGGAGGAAACAGGAATCATCAAATCCAGTCTTGTTCCTCTTGTGTCCATGAAGAATAATTCTGGTTATGGGGGAACGACACCACAGCCAAGGCAGCTGCTAAACAGAAAGCAGTCTGCCAGAGGCAAACAAATCCCGGGTGGAGTCAGATTGACAAAGGCAAGACTCGGTGGACTCTCAGAACCTTTGGTTTATCATTTTTACATAGGGAAGCACAATCCCTGCGCCAGGATTGCTGTGAAGCCTAGCACACAGAAAATATCACCTTTTGGGACCCAGAGTTACAGCAATCTGGAAGAGCACTCCCTAGATCAAGGAAGGTACAAGTTATACTACATCTTGATAGTCACACTCAAGTTTAGTACAGAGTATAACCTGAAGAATGTATTGAGAAGTTGGTACTGATCCCAAGCTGACTGAACAGAGCTCTAAATACCGTAACCTCATGCACATAAAGCGAAGTGCAGACCAAAACACAACACTCAAAGGGGCCCAAGGGAATTTAAGTTTCTTCAGGACTAGAAGAAATTGATTTATTCCATAGGGAGAGCCAGACTCGGTGGACATACACTTCAGAACGCCCAGAAGATGTGTCTAATAAAACTGGAAAAGAATCCAAGGAGTGTCTTTGGCTTACAGAAGGCAATAGCCAAACACCAATTTGCAGGATGCTGCAGATAAATTCTTGTACCTGTGAGATCTGAGGAGGACATTGGTGGATGTTCATGTGAGGAGAGTGGTGGCCATATTCTATGAATTGAGGTTGCACAGATTAATGTGAGACTAATGGGGGATGAGGGACCGCTGGAAGAAGGATGTAACTGTCTCCATAGGAATGAAGCCTTTCAATTCACCAAGAACCTTTTAGTTTAACTTCAGACTCAAGGGAATGTGTATTTGAGCAACTGGAAGCAGAAGCAGCCAGAAGACTTTTGCACTATAATTCAGATGACTCAAGGAATGGTGGCCCAAATGAAACACAAACTGCTAGAAACATAGAAGCACAGAAAAACCTCTTATTTAGGTATGGAGTGCAGAAGGACTTTCTTCTTAAACAGATTTGAACAGATAGAGATGCTCTAGTCTATCATCTTGATATGAAAATATAAAAGGACTCTCTTGGGCAAATTTCCACCCGCAAAGAGAGCCCATGTCTCATATGCATAGCAGAGGATGGAGAATGGACATGCCATTGGTTCATTAAACATTTTCTATAGAAAGCTATAAATGGTAGTTGGGTGTGAATGAAATTCTGTTAATTATGTAAAACATCAGTTCACTGTAATTTTAACATTTGTATACCAGCATGGAAACTTAGTTCTTTTTTACAATAGGTTTCCTGGATTGTTCTAATGGATTTTTTACAACATGACTTATTCAGTAGAGGGAGACTAAATGTACTCTGTGTTTTGAAAGCATGAGATATTAACACAGAAAGGATGAGAGCTTTCACAACCTTCTAACTGACTGCTGAGGACATGACATCCTTCCCAGTAATTAAATGTAGATTGCTTTGTTAAAGAGTAATTTCTTTGCACCTAAAAAATAGAGGTAATAATAACAAATCCTATTTCACATGTAATGGTGGTAAAAGCACATTATACAGTTAGGCAGATACAAAAATAAAACTAGATATGAAATTGTATGCTTCTTCTTGCCTTTTTACCCTTGTATTTAACATATTCTAAAAGTTACAAAAGCTGCATATTGCTAAATCAAAACACTGTGGAAAATTGTGCCACCACAAATAGGTGGTGAGGACAGGCAATTAACATACCTTGGATCCCGACACCGGGGAGCGCTGGTTCCCATTGACACTCTAATGACAAGAAAGGTTCCAATGATGTGGAGACAAAGAGACCTGTGTTAGTCACAAACAACAACCCCAGAACGCCAGTCTCCTCAAATCCTTATCTTCATGTCAGATAATCCCCATTCATGCCAGGAAACACAGGTTCTTGTCCAACCCCAGAGACAGATGTCCTGGATAGTTGCCAGCAATGCGACCAGGGGGAGCAGGAGGCACATGATCTTGGGAACAAAGCCACTGAGTGAGTCTATGGCTCCTGCTGACTCCTGCCTGGCACACTGCTGGAGGCCAGGAACAGTAGGCAGCACAGGCTCACTTAAGGGTTTCTATTAGGGGAGGATTCTATGCTCTCTCATGACTAAGCTCAAGAGCCTCTGACCCTCCCCTTCTGCGTGGGGTCTACTCACTTGGTCAAGGTTTACCCTAATACAAGCCACAGAGCCTTCTGTCTCTACACTCTTATACAACTCCCTCTCCAACTTTTTAAAGTATTTTAGACCTTACTCCTGGGGCATCTTCTTTATCTATATTACTTCCTCATTCCAAACCGCCTAAATGCTCCCAAGGGCTCTGGACAAGTAGGACCAGTATTCAAAGACTCTTCTGTGATGCACGGCTCTGATTTTTGTCTCTTGACCCCATCATTTTCTCAAACCTGTCTACATCCCTAGACTTATCCACCATTTGGCCCCTTCTTAACTTCTTTTATTAACTCTAGGCAGCTCTGTCTCTACAGTATCTTGAGCCACAACTGCCTGGCTTTCTCAAAATGTTTATGTGGTTTATTTTGCCCCAGTAACCCTGCAAAAGTCTCACAAATAAAAACCAGGACATTGCTTGCAATCCCATTATTATGCTGGACATAAGAAAGTAACTCAGTCATCTCGGTGACTGATGCACGGACCTTATCCACAGATTCACTTCTCAAGTCTTCTAGGCTACAGGAGAGTTTTTTCTGAGACCTGGAGAAACCCAAAAGAAAATGAACACAGAAAGAGTTACTAGAAAGAGTCACATGGGACAACTAATGTTTAACTGATGGTTTTTCTAGGGTTTAGAAACAAGGCCATAAAACAAATGCCTCTCATAATAGCCATACTACACGAGATGAGTAAAGTCTGACAGTGTATTGGCAAGGGCATGTGAACATCACTTAAATAAACATGTCCTTGACATTGCTCTAAAGGCTAGAATACACTCTATCCTGTTGGATCATTGGAAGTTGACTATTACACAATCATAAAGACTAACATCTTCAGAGTCAAAACCAAAGCAAAGCAATGATACTGGCTTGTGTGTGAGTCTAGGAATTATCCAGTTGGTCTTTTTGTAGAATGGAGATGAGCACATCAGCAACCATTGCTCTGGAGCAGCACCTGCTGTGATTACCCAGTCCTCTGTTCTGGTCTCATATACTCAGAAGAATTTTGCTAACACAGGGGTTGTCTTGCAGAGAAGGGCATCCAATGGGGGATAAAGAAGGGACGATGCTACCAAACTAGTCACAAGGGTCATCTTGTGACCAGTGTCCCTGGCAGTCATACTTCTCAGTTTATAATGAATAAATACACTTATGTCTATACATTGTTCTCTTGGATCTGAACGGTCTGAGGTCCACAGTTGACTTCACCTAAGTGAACTAATAAAACTTCTTACTGTGAAAAATTAAGGAATGACCAATCACTCTTTGACATTGCCACTGTTCCATTAGGAACAACCACTCTGTGGAAAGTGGGCTCTAAGTGTCAGCACCAGTTTGGGAAGACTTCTGCCATGCTTGTGAGCATCTTCTCCTGACACCTTGGCTGAAAGAGCCTGTTGCTGGTGAAACTGCCACAGCTTCCTTACACAGGTCTCATCTTGAGAGCATATTCTAAGGAGCAGATATAAGGAACTGCTACTGGACTTATTTCAGAGGGAACTTGACATATGGCATCCAAGTGATCCTATATACCAGTCCATTAAGTGTAGTATTTTGTGAAGAATCCTCAAAGTTACTGGACTGACTTCTCTGGGAGGAGTCATAATTCTCCCAAGAGAGACTGAGCAGGAAATGTCTAGTGGTAAGGACAGCCCAAAGGGGCTAATGACAAAGTTGACATATTACAAGATGTTCTCAACTCCACAGAGCAACAGGAGAACATGGATGGATTACAGCCTCCTCTGCTCTAAGGTTCTAACCCCTGACCAGACTTTTCTCAGTGGTAATGATCCAGACTCTCATTTTGTGGGAAAATAAGGACTTCTGCAACCCAGAGAGAGAGACCTGGTTGTTGACTATGAAGGGCAGGTTAGAACCAGGCACCTGTGCTCACCCTGCGTGATCAGACATTTATTAACTTCAGGAGTCCCCAGCAGGAGCCTGAGAACACAGAGATTCCAGAGAAACACACAGACCTCCTACCTGGTTTCCAGTGATTTCTGGGGAAGTGGAGGCGGCCCCACTGTGGGGGAGCTACATCTTGGCGACATCTGCACCAGAAACAGGAAAGATATCACAGAGGCCAGTTACTGTTTGGAAAGCATCCATCACCCTTTGCACTTATTTGGAAAATTCCTTTGGGGAGTCATGCTGTAGGGGGTGGATGCAACCATATGAGTACCTTGCTCTTTCCAGATGCCCCAAGGGGGTAGGCATATCATCCTAGCTAATCTTGTTAAGCCAACTTGTCTCTTTCTGGGCTCCAGACCTTAGACAGAGTTCATATCCTGCCAATACAGTCCTGAGATATGGGCTCCTGGGCTTTTGCTGACCCTTTGCTTTCTAAATACAGCTGTTCTAAATATAGCTTTTCCTTTTATTTAGTGAGCCACTGCATTCTCTCTTAAAAATATTCCCTTCTAGCTTAGGTTACCCAGAGTCAGTATCTGTTGCTTACACTAAGAGAATCCTAACTGATAATAGCACTCAATAAACATCAGCAACATCTACTGCCTATCAGGCCCTACAGTAGTTGAGAAGCAAGCACTCTCCTCTGTTGGAACACAGATAAACAAACTGGGATAGACCAAACAATAACATTTTTATGTTATTATGGCATTAACATTTTTAATGTTATTATGGGAATAGAGGGAAGAGGTTTCCTTTCATCCATGGAAAGTTGAGGCAGTCATCAGAGGGGGAACACTTGAGATCAATTTTGAGAAATGAGAATGGGCTCACCAAGAAGGCAAGAAAGAAAAGAGCAGTCTTGGTAAAGCCAGGATAATAAATGGTGGTTCAAAAAATACAGTGCTATGTCCTCAGTGTTCTTCTGATCATGAAGATTGCCTCCTCCCCCATCCACAGTATGTTTTTAGTCTACCATAGGACGGACTTTGACATTATAACCTAGTTGTTAAAAGCCTGGACTTTGTAGTCAGATGGCCCTAGGTCCAAGACAAGGTCTTGCCACCTACTTAACAGTATGACCTAGGGTATGTTACTTATCATCCCTGAATCTCAGTTTCATCACAATGAAATAATGATCCCAGTGGGGTATCATTAGGAGTAAAAGGGGTGAGCCAAGTGCAGTGCTCATTGCAGTGACCACACAAGGGTATTAAGCAAGGTTTGGCTCCTGCTATCTTGTAATCGCCAGCAAACAGGGGTACTTGTTCTGATTTACAATTAGGTCACTGGACGACACATTCGCTGTTCTCTTCACTAAAATGATTTAAGCCATAGAAGGCTACATTTCTGTTTAATCATTCTGGAGTTTTACAAATCTTTTATAAATCTTGCCTGTGTCTACTAGCTTATGTGCCTATTTGATGTTAGTCTAAATTTAGAGATTAATATAATAATACTAGATTTCATATGAACAAACGAAAGAGAAGGAAAAGTTGAGCACTATCAAGGTTGCAAAGGCTATGTATAAAGCAGAGATGTCTCACTTCAGGAGTGACAGTAACCTCTCTAAATGAGAAAGATACATTGCTAAAAGTCAATATTTGTTGAATCTTAGTGAGGATAAGGCATTAATGCAGACCCTAGAGAAATGATGGTAAATAAAACGAATACTACCTTTGATATAGGCATACTTTCTAGAGTAAAGACAAAAATAAACAAAGAATCTGATCAAAAAAGAAAATTGCAGTTCTGGACCATCATTTATCATGCTTCCCCCAAGCAGAATATAGGCCTGAGTCTTGGTCCCTACCCTCACTTCTTTCCCCAAGATGAGGATCCCTCCCTGGATTGAATTATTCACTGGTCAAGATATGCACTAGATCATCCTCCCAGCTCCAGACAAGCTCTAAAGAGGCTGCTGAAACCCAACAGAATGAATGGAAAGCAGTACCTCATGTTTAAATAATTCTTCAGAGTCTTTATTTGTGGTGTTCCACTTTCTGAAACTGCCCTCCATATCTTCTTCATTCATGGGCAGAGTTCTCTCTGAGGGCCCTGGAAGCAGAAGAGGTGTATCACTATCATGTGAACTGCTTACAAACCTATAGTTGTATCACAAAATACTAATATGATTTCTCCTTCATTAAGAAAGACCAAGAAATACAGAGAAAAACCAAGAGCATGATTCATTAGATGATTGAGGGCATAAGAGCAAAGGCTATTAATAGGGTCATTTCAAGGCCAAAGCTCCTCTATGCAACTGAAAGGAGGGCTCTTGGCCACAGGCCATCAGGTCCTAACATTAACATTGACCTGAACCAGGATGCCAAAGGATTACAGAAAAGCAGGCTGGGATATGTGTGTGTGGGCAGCTGGCAGAAATCCTGGGCAAGAGACCAATCAACCACAACCCTGCAGAGGTTTGGCTTCTTCCCAAGCACAGGAAGGAGCTCCATCAAAATCAGAAGCTCCTGGATACCCTGCAAAGCAGCCCTCTTCTGTGAAACAGCTGCTTGCACAGGATCTGTGTTGGAACCCCAGGTAAAGGGCACAACCGCCAAGGTGTACAGCCTGATGCATTCACCATGGTGTCAAAAGACCAGAGATGATGCCTGCATATTGCATTCAGTCTGGGAAGGAAATAGGAAACACAACAGCTGTCCCTGTCTGATGACTCCCCTGTAGAAACCTAGATACCCAGAGACTTAAATAAGGGTGTCCCAGAATGTCCTGAGCTACTGGAACTATACTCTAGCAGGATTACAAATTCTATTCCTTAGTGGGGGCTCTGAGTAGATTTCTGATCCAGGTTTTGATTCTACATGCTACCTCTAAGAATTGTCCTGATACCCCAGAGACCCCAGAGGGTAAAACAGCGTAAGAGTTCTGGCTTCTGGGTGATATGGATAAGCCCTGGAAGCTCTGAGCTATCACTTGACAAAATATCATTAGTTACCAATTGCCCACCATCCAAGGATAAGGATAGTGCATGCAGGCCCTAGCAGGGAATCTTTTGCAAATGGAGGTGAAGCATTTTCTTACAGAATGCCTAGATGTAACACAGTGGATGGAATCTGTTTAGGAGAAAATGGTAGGACTATCTTCTGTCTTACCTTGAGTTGCCATCACAATCTCCTTCTTCCTTCGGTACTGGTTCAAAAGCCCAGTGAGCTCTTCTATCCGACGATTCTGTCACAGTGAGAGGGGAGATTTAGATTAACATAATCAGTGATAATTTTGATGTTCAGGGCCAGGCACACTGAGAAGAAACCCCATATGGACTCTAAAGAGTATCTCAAAGGAAGTTTCCAGGGATACCCAATGAGCTGAAGTTCTAGTGGTCTGCCTAAGAGGCAGCTATAGGAGCTCATGACTACCTGAAGGTTATGAGTCAACAATCATTGTTTAAGATGTCCTTGGTGGGCTTAAACATTTTCAGAAGCATGAAACACATTGTCTCCTTATCCTTTTGAAACGTCATGGTTGCCTCTGAGTCCCTTGTTACCTTCTGATTCTTCCCTCTACCACCACATAGAAAGACTAAAATCAAGTTTTCAATTTTATTTTAATATACCCACCTACTCTTCAGAAATCTGAGATACCTTACATAAAACAGATCTCAGCATTAGACAAGTGTGGATATGATTACTGATTCTGCTATCTGCTAATTTTTATAACCTTGGGAGAAATTACTCAAGCACTCTGAGTCTCTTTCCCCATTTAAAAGGCAGAATTGCAGTCCTTAGAGATGCTATTTACATAAGGTAAGTGCTCTATATTTAGAGATGGATACTTTATTATTACACAGGAGTAAATAAGCTGGGAAGACTATAAAGTGGTGGGGTAAACTGAGGCACTGCATGCTTCAAGTATCTCTACCATGGTGTTACACTAAACTGTGCATATTGGATATTGGTTGCCTGTTTCTGAATTTTGCTAAGGCTCTTAGCAGGAACTTTAATACTGGCAATAATCACAGGGGTAACTTTTCCCAACACAAGTATAAATAGGCACACATCTAATCTGAATTTGGAATATTCAAATTAGGTAGAGTTCCCAAGCATCAAACTTCAAAACAAGTGAGTGAGGCCAAGTCTCTCTAAGGTACAAGTCATTCTCCTGATATATCATCATGTCAATGGTTTGATGAGTAGGGCCTTACTCAGAGTATCAGGGACAAGTGGGGACCAAAAAGGGCCAGGATGGCAGCAGGGAAAAGGACAGAGCTGCTCAGTGGCCATCTTACCTTATCTTCATTGGCAACAAGCAAAGTTTCCATCCCCATTTTCAGTCGCTGAATTTCCTGGTCTAAAGGAATTAAAGCATAGAAAGAATTACTTGTATAAATGTAAACCACTGTCTATGAAAGCTAAAATGTTACCTCAATTCGAACTTGAAGACCTTCAATATTGAAGACCTCCTTCTTTCTTTAAGGAACTTACAATGATGTCTGGCACAGAGTCAGTCTTACTAATGTATTTACTGACTACTAATTGAAGGAACCTAGTATTTTGCGTACTGCTCACAGACATTTACCAGCAAAATCAAAATGGCATTTACTCATGGTTGACACAGAAAAACCCAGCAATCATTCACAACCAACATTTCCCAAGAAGACAGAAAATACATTGTCTTACATAGCACAAGAAGACAGTTCTTATCTTTTACAACTTGAGTAGCCATGAACTTTGACTGAAGGACTGATTTGGAAGAAATATCATACAGGCCAACAGATTATAGCAAAGAAGAATTTAAAAGTCAGAAAAATCTACAACTGAATGGAGACTTGGAAAAAATAAAAAATAACTGGCAGTTGGCTTAATACAAACAGTTTGGGGTCTGGCATAATGACTCAGTGGTTAAATCCTTGCCTTGCATGCCCCAAGATCCCATATGGGCACTGCCTCATGTCCCAACTGTTCCACTTTCCATCCAGCTCCCTGTTTGTGACCTAGGAAAGCAGAGCCTTAGGCCCATGCACCTGCATGGGAGACCCAGAAGAAGCTCCTGGCTTCAGATACGCTCAGCTCTGGTCATTGTGGTCACTTAGGGAGTGAACCAGTGGATGGAAGACCTTTCCCTCTGTTTCTCCTTCTCTGTTAAATCTGTCTAAGAAAAACAAATAAATATTTTAAAAATATATTGGCAGTTTATATGGTCAGAATTGAATAACAAATTTCAAGCTTGTTAAGCTTGATAAGCTTGTTAAATTAAGCAGTAATAAGCAAGCATGCTAGGGCTCCCCCAAAATAAATAAAAAACACTATGGTTAAGGGAAAATAATTTTATTTAGTCATAAACCTACAGAACTTCTCTTTGGGCCAAAAGATCTCTGAGAGTATATGGTAGAAAATTCATGAGTGGCTTTTCCTCACTTTGGATCTAACAGCTTTGACTTTTCAGGCTGGTCTAGAGAACCATGTTTAAGGCCAATGCCTAAATGAGCAAGAGCTCATATTACTGGTTTACAAATTGGCACAAAGTTTGATTTTTTTCAGAGAAGGAACAATATTTACCCTTAAAATGAGTATCGCAAAAGGAACATCACTGTCCATATGAGTATAAGCAAAGTACAGGATACAAGAAACTTAAGTCCAGGTATCTTTTTGTTTTGTTGATGCTTGTTATATCCCAAAAGGATAGCAAATGACCTATAGACTTGGTCTACCTAGTTGTAGGCATTCTTTTTCAGCTTGTTAGTCAAGGCTCCTGGCAGCTGCTATCAGTTTCTGTAGTCCAGTTTGCAGTGAGGAGAGTGATAAGCTCCAGGTGAAGTTGGACAAACCTCAATTCACTGGTCAGAATCCAAACTAAGCAGCAAATAACTAAAGGACTAGGTCTAAGAGCTCAAAGATGATGGGATAGGGTACAGCCTAGACAGTTTGGAATATGGAGAAGCATGAGGAAGTATCAGGATGCCAGGGAAGGCTGCCTGGCCTGGAAGTCATGGCATGGGGAGCTCTCTGCCAATATATGGCATTTCAGATAGCATGGGATACCTCTGTAGGATTGAATCTTCACAGGTAGGTAGGTAGGTGAGATCTCCCCATTGGCTTGAGATGACAGTAAGAATCTGAAAGGGATCAGCATGTTGGTAACTAAATTCCTTCTCCAGCATAAGCCATGATTGCATGGCTCCTATACTCCAGGTGGGGATCTAAGCCAAGCAGTGCCAAGGTCAAGAAGAGATTGTCATGGCACCAATTCATGGAACTGCATGGTCCCCTCCAGCACTATTCTGCATTCGGGTGGGAAGAGAAGTTGGAAGATATATGATACCTCTGCATGCACAATAAAAAGCCATGAATGTAAGAACTTGTGTTAATAAGCAAGACTTGAATTTCTCAGAGAGCATTCATCATTCTCTCATTCGTTCAATAAATATTTCTTAGGAGTCTATCATTGGCCAAATACTGTATGATAGATACAGTTCCTACTGCCAAAGTAATAATGACAATTTACACTGCAAGATCTCACAAAAGCAATCATGAAAAGTTAAGATAAGTGCTAACAAGGGAAAAAGGAAGATATTAAGTTAGAGAGTAATAAAGCAGGACATCTACTGAAGGTAGAGTGGCCAAAAGGATTGTTCTGAGGGATAACACTGAAATTGAGCTCTAAAGCATGAGAAAGAACTGATATATATATATTATATATATACACACACACATATATATATGTGTATATGATATATTTATAACTGACTTTATAAAAATTATATATATATATATATTTTATATATGGGACTTTGTATAAAATTCAGCAGCTATTAAATGGTTTTTGATCAAATAAAAGCCATATATTGCCTCCATCCTTATTAAAAGCTCCAGAGGTGGTGACACTGTTAACACACTTCAGTGAACAAGCCTTAGAGGCTGCTTTCTGGGCAAGGTAGGGTCTGTGACCCTGATTCCACTACAGAGCTAGCTTTGTAAGCTCATATGCATGAGCATACAAACACACACACTTATACCTGCACATGTCCATACATGGATATATGCAACAGCATGTCTACCCATTCAAGCATACATACACTCATTAACAGACACACATGCTCACTTATAAAAAAGGGCACCCAGGACAACTGTATTTGGTTAGAGTCAAACCACTCACCTCTCTCTGCATGTTCACCATGGAGAGCTGCAGCACGGGAGAGCTGGCTATGCAAACGCTCAATTTCTGCATCCTTCAGGGCCACCTGTTCTTGCAGCTGTGCTACCTCGGCCTGCAAGAGTAACAGAAGATCCCTATCAGGTCAGGGGGGTAGCCAACCATGAAGAAGTGACTTACACCAGAATCCATGATTATTTATATACATGCACTAGGACACATCAGGGATCAGGAGTAGAAGGAAACAGTTAAATGGGGTATGCTATTCATCCCATGGGGTGAATTCTGCTGAATGAACTCATTCTTTTCAACCATCCTGGCCCTGCCTAGCTCTGAATATCAACCAGATCCTTCCAGTACAACCTGCTACCTAATACCAGTGAGGCGAATGGCTGAGGCTGTGTACAGTGAGGGGTGCAGGGTGTCCTTTGTGCATAGATGGATATATTTTTTGCAAATGTGATTTTATGTCAGCTAAGATAATCCATACAATAGCATTTATGTATACCACTGTGACAAGTATGTGAAGATTTCACCTTTCTGCTCCATAAAGGTATTGTAACAGAAATCAAATCATTACTGGTAAACAAAGGGTGAGTCAAGTCTGCTTCCTTCAATACTCTCCCGCATTTTGTGCAGTAATGGCTTCTGCTCAATCTCAGACACACATGCACCCTCATTCAGATATATTTGCAAAACTAATATGTAAGTGCACACACAAAGGTGCACACATATTCTAAATGCACTCACACACATGAGAAGCTGCAGGAAATGGTTCTCATATCTCCATTAAATATGGCAGGTATCATTTCGCACACAACGCTAGCTGTGGTTGTACATGCTTTTCCATGTTCATTAAAGATCAGAATGATAAAGGTATTATCTTATGAGGCACCTTGATTTTGGCATCAGGCAAGCATAGATTCTCCCATTTGCTAGCAGGGTGACCATGGGTAAGTAGGGTAACCTTTTGAGTTTCAGCTGATTTGTAAAATGAAGAAAAGAACACCTACTTCATGAGATTGCAATGAGGATTAATACAGTTAGAATGAAAATGTAGTCTAATACTAAATACATGCCAAGCGTTCAGCAAATGTTAGCACTATTGTTCCTCAGGACAATGGCACACACTACAGGGGCACCTATGCAGGTCACAACTCCCTGTGTGGTAACCTAATCACAACTCACCTTCAGCTCTCAAGGTTATAATATCAGTTTGTCCTTTCCCACAGAGGCTCATGCTAAACTCTGAATCCCTTCAAGGTATCAAATGAGCACTGGTCCTGCTGATGGCTCTTTTACCAAAGGGGCATTGTATTGTTTTTGCACACTAAGGATCAGTGTTCTCTACTTTGTCCATTCTTCTTGTATCCTCGCAAGAAATTATGGGACGAAGCAACAGTCTACAAGTCACTGGGGAGAATGCAAGACTTGCGCAGCATTCACTGTCAAAGTGACAGAGATCCACATGACTAGGCCAGAATGTATATATAGCCTTGGCCAGCCAGTCTGCCTGCCTGCACAATGCAAGGGTTTCACTAATCCCACTAATCCCACATTTGATAGGACATAAGAAGACAATTCTTATAAGGCTTGGAATCCTTGAATCCATTTTTCTAACATTCTTCAAGAGATGAGAACATCAAAGAAAAAGAAGTTTTATGGGGATAGTTAGATTTGCGTACTTCCCTATTTACAATGGAGCTCTGCCCTTTTGACCTGGTCTCCACCCTATGAGGTAGAGCCAGGTCCTACTGCCAAACTTCTTGCTGAGACATGCAGCCTTGAAGCAACCTTTTGTAGCTCACTCAAGGCCTTAGTGCCCATGATTTAAAATTAACAGTGGCAGTGGCTTCTGAAAACCTTAACGTTGGGAATCTCAACCCAAGTGCCTCATTGCTATGAGGGTCAGACAATTCTCTGAAGATATTAAATTGTCTTGTTTCTCTGTATACCATTTTCTCCTTTATTTGTAAACTATGTGGGTACTGGTATTTGTTAGAAATCTGCATGTCTGATACTTGCTCCTGGTACCAGTTAGACTTAGAAGATGTCAGGGCGTACTGATATTGCTCTGGCAGATGAACAACCTTTAAAGACTGAGAAGTCATCAGCAAAAACTTAACAACATCCAAAAAGCATAGCATTTGACTGTGGGAAATAAGGATGTTACAAGCAAGAGCATGATAATACAGGAATGGCATAGAGCAGATCTGAAATCTGCCCTTGGCCATCCTGAGCCTCTGTTTCATTGCTGGTAAAATGAGAATTATAAAATATATCTACTGAGTTATTTTATGGATTAAATGCTAAAACATTTGCAAATGGTTTGCTATTTCCTGGTACATAGCAAGTACTCCGCATCTGCTAGTTATTAAATAATTCATTTTTAACAAAGATGATATATATAACTTCAAAGGCTTCACCAAAGACTGGCACCATGGCATAACAGATTAACCTTCCACCCACAGCTCCAGCATCCCATGCAGGTGACAGTTCAAGCCCAACACTTCACTTACAATCCAGCTTCATGCTTTGGCTTGGAAAAGCAGTAGAGGATTGCCCTAGGTCTTGGAGCCATGCACCCATGTGGGAGATCCAGAAGAAGCTTTTGGCTCACAGCTTTGGATTAGTTCAGATCTGGTCACTGCATCGTGTCCATTTGGGAAATGAACCATTGCATGGAAGACCTTTCTCTATCTCTGTCACTCTCTCCTCGTCCCTCCAGTCGTCCCTCCCTCCTTCCCTTTGTAAATTGCCTTTCCAATAAAAATAATTAAAAAAAAAAGTTGCACAAGACAGAACTCATTTGGCCAGAATACCATGGTAGGAGGTTTTGAGCTAGACAAAGCAATGCATTAAGAATTTGTGATTGTGAAGTATAGCACATACAAAAAAATTTCTAGAAAGTGGCTGATATTGTGGCACAGTAGATAAAGTTGGCTGGCATCACATATGAAACTGGTTTGTGTTCCAGCTGCTTCACTTTAAATTCACCTCCCTACAAAGGACCTGGGAAAATCAGCAGAAGATGGTCCAAGTCCTTGGGCCCCTTATACCCATGTGGCAGACCTGGAAAAACTTCCTGGCTCCTGACTTTGGCCTGGCTCATACTTGGCTGTTGTGGTCATATGGGGAGTGAACAAGAAGATAAATGATTCCTCTCTCTCTTTCTCCTTCTATCTGTAATTCCCTCAACTAAATAAATACTTAAAAAAAACAAAACAAAACTGTTCTAGCAGGGCCAGCACCATGGCAAAGTAGCCATTTTAGGGAATAAATCATAGTATAAAAGATTTCTCCATCTCTCCTCTCTGTAACTCTGCCTTTCAAATAAAAATAAATCATAAAAAAAAATTTCAGACCCTAGTGTTATGGTCCAGTGGTTATATCCTTCCCTTGAACATTCTAGGATCCCATATGGGCACTGGTTCATGTCCTGGATGCCCCACTTTCTATCCAGCTCCTTGCTTATGGCCTAGAAAAGCAGTAGAGGATGGCCCAACGCCTTGGGACTCTGCACCCATGGTAGATCTGTAAGAAGTTCCTCGCTTTGGACTTTGGATCAGCTCAGCTCTGGCCATTACATGCACTTGGGGAGTGAACTACTAGATGTACAATCTTTCTGTTATTTCTTCTCTTCGTAAATCTGCCTTTCTGAGAAAAATAAATAAATCTTTCCAAAAAAATTTTTCTAGCAAAACTGGTTTTAAAAATAAGCCTATTTGGTACAGAAAAACCAAAATTATATATAAAGTTTTTGAAAAGTCTATGACAAGTTATTATTTTGATTTTAAAAACTGCATGAAATTCAAATATTTTTGTACTCCAACAGGCTTATTTTTAAATTGAATTTTCTGCAAAAAATTTACAGATATGGATTCCTCTAATAAAAAGCTATATTTTACAGGGCCCAGCGCAGTGGCCTAGTGGCTAAAGTCCTTGCCTTGAATGCACTAGGATCCCAAATGAGTGCCAGTTCTAATCCTGGCAGCCCACTTCCCATCTAGTTCCCTGCTTGTGGGCTGGGAAAGCAGTCAAGGATGACCCAAAGCCTTGGGACCCTGTACCCACATAGAAGACCCAGAAGAAGATCTGGGCTCCTGGCTCTGCTCTAGCCACTGTGGCTGCTTGGGGAGTTAACCTTCAGAGAGAAGATCTTCCTCTCTCTCTCTCCCCTCCTATCTGTATATCTGACTTTCCAATCAAAATTAATAAATCTTTAAAAAAATAGCTATATTCAAGTAAAAATAGGAGACAGATCAATCTTGTATGTACTTACTAGCTGTTAAGTTCTTAAGAAAATTAATCTCTGTATCTCAGTTCTATCATCCAAAAAATAGTCTTGCAAATTATTTTATATTTATATACTTGACTGTTACATAGATACTAACAACATGTTTAGTGTTTTAGTAATATGAGAAGTCAAAAAATGTAAATAAAAGAAGCATGGCATCATTCTTTCGTATAATTGGTGAATACCAGAAATTAAGAGAGAGGAAAAGAGATCCAGAAAGAGAAAAAGACACAGGAAATAGTAACAGCAATAACTCTCAGACAGTAAGAGCGGTGTTTGTTTTACAGTTTCAAATTTTCCTATGTTGTTCTTGAATTTATATTAACAATTAACTTTCAAAAAATAAAAATATAAACTAGAAGTTCAAAGCATTTATAACAGAAGTTTTTGTTTAAATCTCCAGTAAATAAGTTAAAATATCAAGAGTGACTACTTGGTAAGCCCCGTGGGTGGCACTGCAGATACCTAAGGGAAAGGCAGGTGTACATAGCTCCCTATAAGGCAGATGCCCTCAAACAAGAACATGTGCCAAGGCTGTGAGAAGGAAATTTCCAGCAGAGCAAAAATCAAACTAGTGGGCTGAATTAAATCCATTTATATTAATCTCTGCACATCAAATGTCATAGGAAAATTAGGAAGAAATACAGTATGAATGAAAGAAATTAATTTCATATACACAAATAATTATTCTTGGTATGTTTTAAATAGCAAGCTCCCTGGGTTAAAAAAAAAAACAGATTTGATTGAGAAAACAAGATGCAAAGTTTATATGAAATTTAGGAATAAGTTGACTGCCTAAAATAAAGCATGCCTATCTTTTCAAAATCTTGTGGGCTTTCCCCATGAGGAGCTTTTGCGAGTCGAATCTAGGTGCCTATTTATTGTAAAGGCAATTACTGAGAGAGAGAGAGAGAGAGAGAGAGAGAGAGAGAATTTCCACCCTCTGGTTCATGTCCTAAATGGCTGAGACAGCTGGGGCTACACCAAGGCAAAACCATAAGCCTGGAACTCCATCTAGGTTTCCCAAGTAGGTTGCAGATGCCCAGAACTTGGGCCATTTTCTGTTGCTTTCCCAGGTGAGAACTGGCCAGGAGCTGAACTGAAAGTGGAGTGGCTAGGACTTGTACCAGTGCTCTGATATTAGGTGCCTGCATCACAGGCTTAACTCACTGTGCCACAACGTCAACCTGGACACCCTGAGTCTGTGCCTAAACCCTCCCCCCAGAAGTAGTTGTGTCTTCCCCGTAAGTATCAGCTCTGCCTTTTACCTTAGTGGCCTTTAGCTTCCACTCATATTGATTCCGTTCGTTCTCCAACTCTTCTACCTTGATTTTGAGGTGTCGGAGTTCTTGCAGTAACTCCTAGAGGAATCAGGGAGAAAGGCAAAGTTCTTATGGTTAAAGGTAATTGCTAGGTCTTTAAGCCTAATAAGCTCATGCAGAGAAGGCTCTGAAGCAGCAGCTACCTCATCAAGTTCCGTAGTTTAGCTTTAATCCTGACATTTGGTTAGTATTTCAGAACCTGTCGGGTCACTGAAAAACGCTAGAGTTCCAGACATAACAGAAAACAGTTCTTTTCAAAGTCTTTTGCGCCTGTCCCTTCCTCTGACATCTGTATCCTCCATGGGATATGTCTGCATCATGCACAGATACGCTGGGAGCCAGGAAACAGGAAGATGAGAAGTCTGGCCAAAAGGGGACAGCTTCTTCTCTTAGGCAGACAAGATTTGGGAAAGCAGGTTCATGGGAAGTAGTGTTCTCTCTGTCTCTGCCTCTCTGCTAAGGAGTAGGTACCTAGAAGAGCATGGTGATCCTGGTAAGCCTTTATAAAAGAAACGAAAGCCAGCAGGATAGAAGTTAAACAATAAAAGAACAAATACTTGGTGCCAAATGTAGACACGAATATAGGTGGGTGAGGGTATACAGGGAGGGGTAACAGCAGGACACAGCACAGGAGAAGATCTGGTGATATCAGCCCAAAGTACAAGATGAGGCTGGGAGCCTAGGTGGGGACTCAATTGTTAAGGCTCTTAGATGTGAATATGGATTCCGATGCTATTCTCTGAACAACAGGGAGCCACTGAAGGTTGCTGGGTGAGGAAATGTTTGGGTAACAAAACAACTTTTGCCATGCTGGTAAATGGAGGAGCCAGAATTCAAGTCCATCTGACTCCCAAGTCTTTGCTTTTAAAACTACCCCTTTAATAGAGAAGATGCTATTAAGCACATGGCCATGAGCCAAGATTTCCTTAATCACTAACTGCTCCTACTGCCTACCAGATTTGGCATAGAAGTAATCATTGCTTCTGAACTCTAAACTCACATATAGTTGACTTCCTACTCAACATCTCCATATGGATGTTGCCCAGCCATCTTAGAACCGTCAGGTCCCAAATGGAACTCTCAATTCCCAAATCACCCATCTTACTGACATTTTTTGCCACTTCATTGCCTTGGCCGAAACCTGAGTTGCCTCTGTAGCCTCTCTCTCTCTCCCCTTGTATGCAATTCATCACTAAGCTTTATCAACTCTACCTCCAAGCATATAACCCACATGCCTCCTTTCCCTCTATTTCTACCACCCCTACTCTGTTCTAGCAATTATTGTTGGTAGCCTAGGCAGTAACTTCAAATCTACTGACTCCAACAATTTCCAGGGGAATAACATAATTTAAAAAGCATGAGATCCTGGCATGTTAAACTTTAACACATGCCCATTACAACCTGGCCTGATTCAGCTCCCTGTTTGCCTCTTTATCATTATTTCTTCCCAGTTATGTCCCTGACACATCAAAAGTTTGTAGTACTCTTTCCAACTTGGGTTTTCTATCTAGAGCTGTTGATCAAGCTAACTCTGCCCATCCTTCAGGTCTTCCTAAGCAAAGATTCCTGACTTCTACGATGTGTTGTCTCTGCTGACATTTCACTTCTGTAACCTGTGAATCTCTGACACAGTCTGCAAACTTTTATGTGTATGATTGCTTATGGCTAGTTCTCTTCCTGTCAGTTCCTCTGGTCACCAGCATGCCTGACATACAACAGGCACACATTAAGCATAAATGAATGATCACCTGAAACTCAAGTCATTATTTAACTTGTCTAGAGCTAGGAACATTCTGAGAAAATTCACCATGAAGTGACAGTTCTGACACCTGGATTTTGCAAAGCAATTTACTGAGACTGCATTAATGTTTAGGTGAGCATTTGCTAATGTCTGTTTACCAAAATGTCTTCCAAGCTAAGGCTAACACATCCATGATCTGTATCACTGGACATCAAGGCTTTGGTCACCTATTTTGGTTATCAATGAATTTTCTAGGAACTGCCTGAAGAGCTCCAACATCTAGAAGTAGAGGATTCCTCTGTCCATTGTGAATCCTTCAGGCTGGGACTGAATTGGCCCGGCAAAGGTGGAGATACAAGTATGTGGGTTATTATGCCTAAGGACTGCCATTGTGGCAGTTCTTGTGCCTTGTTGATGCACACTATAGAGACTATTAAATCTCCCAATTACACAGGAGGAACGTTTTCCTTAAAATTAATAGGATGACTTAATGGTTCACTGTTAAGGGCAACTTTTTTTCTATTTTTCTCACAGGGTTTGAATCTTGCTAGGCATAAACTTGATTCTTTTTTATGATTTTTTTGCATGGCTTTTTGGTGGCCATAATTTTATTTGATCAGCCCAATAGTCTAATGACATGTATGCAACTTTTAATTTTTTTGGTAATTCAATTTATATTGTTAAAATGTATCTGCTTATATTAAGGGGACAGATTTCATGTGTTTTATATTGTGATGATTTCTTACATAAAATACGGATGATATGAAATAAAAGTGAATTTTGTCTACCATCCAGGCGAAAGAATGGGTATCTGCATCCCATAACTGGGAAGGAGAATACTGTGGCTTCCTTTGCATAACTGCCCATCACTCAGAGCATCTGACATACCTCATTCCTGGTCCTAAGGGAGGTAAGTCCTGCATAGCACTTGGCCTCACCCAGACCCTGTTCAGTAAGGGTCCCAGAGTTCACCTCACATCCCAAAAGGGATGAGTCCAAGCTCTGACTGTAGGTCACAGATCCATGCTAAAACACCACACTCTGTTCTGGTTAGGAAGAACCCCAATCCCTCCCCCAAGGAAAGGCCCAACACACACGCATGCTCTGATATACTTAAGTGTGCTTCCTACAGGTGACCCCTCCTGAGGGGCACAGTCCTGGCTGCATGGCTGGGGTTCAGCTGCACTGTCACCAGCCGCTGCCTCCTCTGAGTTATCCCTACTGAGTAATAGGCGCTCTTGAATCTGCCTGTGGATGTCCAGCTGCAGCCTACACATCTGCTCCTGCAGCTCACTGATCACATTCAGAATGGACTGTAGGAATGAAAAGAAAGGAGAGAAAAGCACTGAAGGTCAGTCAACTCTCAAACATATCAGGGTTAGGAGAAAGCATGGAAGGAAGAAATGAAGTGTGTAGAAGCTGGGCTGCTGGTGGCTCCTAGGAGTCACTACCAATGGCCAGCCTTTTTCCTCACAGAAACTAAAAAAACACAGTGTTTTCCCTGAGGGTGTCCCCTCCATAGCCTGCCCTAGAGTTTAGACAAACCCCCACCACATCCGTTATGCCATCCCAGACAAGCAGCCTTGCAGGATGACATCTGAAACATAGAGTCTAGAAGAAACTCTTTATCCAAGAGCAAGCAATAGTTGATATGGGTGCACAACATGCACACACTGTTATATCTCCACATGTAACCATACACATATGCTAACTCCCCCACCCAAACATGTGTAAATGTGACATATATGGCATACACATTCACATATGATAATATATCCTCATCTCTAAAGTTATTCAGTACCAACATGCCATATTCTTGCCCTATATTTTCCCATCTTATCCACAACACTACACTAGGCAATGTTACTGGTCCACCTTACTGAAGCATGGATTTACCTGGTCTATCATTATAGAAATGCGGATTTCTGTTATTGGCCAAACGAAGGTCAGTCTGACATGCCTCACTCTTGGTGGGAGTGGATCCTTACTTTATTCACTAGCTTCAGGCAAATCAGCACAGGTTAACCTCAAACTTAACAGCCTATATTTTACAGAATCTACTTATTTTTGCAGCTTAATAATCGAGGAAAATGTTCATTTCCACTTGTTCAGCAACTCATTTAATTTTTCTGATTCTTTAAAATTTACTTATAAGGGCCCGGCGTGATGGTGTAATGGTTAAGGTCGTCGCCTTGCATGCGCCGGGATCGCATATGGGCTCCGGTTCTAATCCCAGCAGCTCCACTTCCCATCCAGCTCCCTGTTTGTGGCCCGGGAAAGTGGTCAAGGATGGCCCAAAGCCTTGGGAGACCCGGAAGAGCCCCTGGCATGGGATTAGCACAGCTCCAGCTGTTGCGGCCACTTGGGGAGTGAATCATCATATGGAAGATCTTCCTCTCTGTCTCTCCTCCTCTGTATATCCGTCTTTCCAGTAAAAATAACTAAATCTTAAAAAAAATTATTTATAACAACCATTTTGGGGACTAACAACCCAAGTTCTCTGTATCTGTCCAAGGCAGTGAATAATCAAATCTGTTACCTTTTTCTTCCCCCAAACCTTGTAAAGAGATCTCATTTAAATGGCTTTCTACTATACCTAGCATTATATGATTTTTCAGGGTCTTCCCTGCCCTATACTGACCATACAGTGTACTTTGGGTGTCCCTGATACACGTCCTCTTTATCCTTTTTACAAGTTCCTTTTAAAACTAGTTACTCTCGTGACACTGCTAAGTTCTTCCTTCTTACTGGCATTATTTGTGATATGGCACAGTCAATTTTAAGCAGCTCAGTATTCTTGACTTTTCTGACTTCCTACATTATGATTTACCAAAGCCTACAGTGCATGTCATGTGTAGTTTTCCACTTGTTCATTTTCATGAAACATCAGGTAACAATGGCCACTGTGTCTCAATGTTCCTCTCATTTTACTACATAAACTAACTGCTTTCCTCGGTCATTTTTTTAAAAAAGATTTACTTATGCATTTTAAAGGCAGACTTACAAAGATAAGGACTGACAGAAAGACAGAGGTATCTTCTATCCACTGGTTTGCTTCCCAAATCACAACAGTCAAGTCTCCACCCAGCAGAAGCCAGCTGCCTGGAACTCCATCCAGGTCTGCCATGCAGGTATCAGGAGTACAAGTATTTGGAGGCACTTTCTGCTGCTTTCCCAGGTGCATTAACAGGAAGCTGAATTCTAACTGTAGCAGCTGGCTCTAAACCAGCACCCGTAAGGGAAGTTACTGTCACAGGTAACAACTTAATCCACTGTGCCACATATAACACTGGTCCCT